AAAAAATTGAGAAAAGTAGTACATGACGTATACACAGTTTCAAGCAACACAACGCTAATGACCATCAACCCGAAAAATCACAAAATACCTAAAAATTATAACCAAGTCAGAGCGAAATGCGTGAGTTTTTGTTGTATAAAAATCTTTATCCACGTAGATTCGTTGTATTTATATAAATTGTAATAATTGCTCACTTGCTGATTATAGGAGAACTGGAGAAATAATAAGTACCACACACCACGATATTTTGCTTACAGAGCTCCTGTATAACAGTTGAAAATAATGTTATCGAGGCGTTTGTTTTTCCACCCCTATATTTAACTGCATTTCATTTCGTTGTGAATTTTAGATCGATCCTTTGAATAATAATAATCGTGCCTGTACCGTTTTACATGTATCAACATTGTATCACGATATTAATGATGATGGAGTTTAAATTACTCGGTCGATTGCATCAACTTGAAAAAATTCAAACTATTGGAGATAGTGCTTGTATAAATTTTCAAGCGACCAAAAAAAATGTTGCAACATTGAATGGGGGGAGGAAAAAAAAAAAAAAAAAAAAACACTCACCTGTGGGGCGGTACACCTTGGTCGATGTAGTCGGGCTCGGTGAGGACGAGGGCGCCAAAGGCATCGTTGAGGGTGGCCTGGCTGAACTTGAGCTTCGTAAAGCCCTCGGGCCGGTTCTTGTAGCTCTTGATCTTGGCCCAATTGAAGGCGTTGCGGTAGCTCGAGCCACCCTTGTAATCGACCTCGATGACCGCCTCGCACTCGAGCAACTTGTGCAGGGAGGCTATGGTGTCGGCCACGTCGACCGCGAACTTCCTCAGCATAAAGTTGCAGATCCGGTCCGTGCTCGGCCGAGCCTTGCGCCGGCGCAGCTGATCTATCGACTCGAGGATCTTGCTGCCGTGCTGGACCTTGGCGACCGCGTTGCCCAGCGAGGCACCCTGCTGTTGGCCCACCGCGGCCGCCTCCTGCTGCTGGGCCTGTCGGGCGCGTTGCCTCTGCAACTTCGCCTCGGCCCTACCCCGACCCGGCCCCGCCTTTTCCGGGCTGCTGCTGCTACTCCCGCTTGCCATCGCTCTTCGATTGCCTTCCTTTGTTTCACCCCCTTTCTCGAGGCGCGACGCTGTAGGCTATACTTGTTTGCCCAATTGCTTCCGTGTCCGAGGAGTTTATACCACTGAAACAGAAAACGAAGGGCGATTCTCAATTTCACTTGTAAGAAGATCGATTTGTCGTCATCTCGCACAGTTTATCCATCGCGTCGTTCGATCGATTTTTGTTTATTATACATATATATGTATTTTTTTTTTTCCTCTACCGCGTATCGGTTGAATTCTTGTTTGTCAAGTTGCAATGTAGTTGCCCACATCTTACACGCAAAAAGCATCGGAGGAGCTTTTAAATATATGATAGAACCGATGTTTGTCAGTGTCGCGGGGAGCTATTGGGTGCAGTACACTGGTAATTCTCATCGATTGAGCAAAACTTGGCGCATAAAAGGAAGAAGAAAAAAAATCAATTTTAGTACATCGCGCGCTTTAGTAAACGCGATACCGGAACTCGAGTCAACTCTAAATGTATAAACTCCACGTCAATATGCCACCAGTCAAACGCGTCGTGCATGTAAAAATGCCCACAGCGTTCAACCATATTGATGAGTAACAATTAATTGGCCCGATGCTATACATTCATCTGCAATGGAAAAACTACAAAAAAAAAAGAATTCAACAAGCGTCTCCGCCTAAATACATCATTGGGGTTGTCCACGTAGCCGTGTCGCGTGCGAGAGAGAGAGAGAGAGATACGTGTGTGTTTATCTGTAGTTTGCGCGCGCGCCGAGCCTTTTTTTCCCAAAGGCCGTGGATCGCGTCCCCGACGGATCGATGCTGGAGACGTGCCTCCATTTTCGGATCCTGTACATAAGTACCAACTGCTCAGACTCTCGTCGTGCTTTCTCGCACTGTACGGTTGCGCGGTCGTTTTATACAATTGTCATACCAGCGCTGTTTAGGCGAGTGTGCATTGAATCTTTATTCAGTTCATGGTATTGTTTCCGTTGGAGGTGCTTAATTAATTGGTGCTAATTAGGTACATATTATGTTGATCGGAAATACTGATAATTGGAATTAAAACTTGATTACTTATCAATTTGCATGTTATCGTGACTAATCGACAACTATTTATATATACAAAAATGTATCACTATCGGTTAGTTTCGCGGAAAACCAGAGCAATTCAAATGCATGTAATTTAATTATCATTACGAAATTCCGAAAATCCTCTGTCAAGATTTAACTAAATGACGGTCATTATGATTCACAAGTGTAACAACGGGTATGTACGTACGATGAAATCAATTAACACCTATGTGAGCCAATGCACAATGGTAAAAGTGTTTACTCAATGGAATACTTTCTCCAAACTTGTTTCATGACAACAACAACAACAAATAACGTCACTTTGCCGAGTTCGAAATAAAGAGGAAAAAAAAAAAAAAAAAACATGCTCAATGCTTTTTTTCAACTCCAGGGGCAATTGATAATTATTACAATTGATGGATCGGACGAGCATTGCTTGTAGAAAAATGCGGGGGAAATAAGAAGTAAGCAAATTTCAACAATAACAAAAAACACAATGGAATATAATATTACGTATATGGGCATTTGACGATAAATGCTGTAAATGGCTACTGAAACTGACGAAGTCATGTATATAGAAGACTTGGCCGATAAAGCAGTTCTGCCGCACTTGACGCGATCATCTCAGTCACCGGACTTTTCTCTCTTTATCTCACTTTGTATACTTATTTCTCGTTAAGTATGCAAGTATACGCGCAAGAGAGGAAGTGCAGTATCGGTTTACGTATTAAGTTAGTATAATACACACATGAGTATAGGTATAATGATATTTGAATGTAACAAAAGCGGCCGGCAGCGCGCGCATGCCGCATCACATGTGGATGGCGCGTGTGTCTTTCCGCTGCGGCAATGCCGATGTATATATATATATATATATATGTATACATTTTGCCATATATCAAGCGAATCGGAATGCGATCTAGACCCGTGGTATATATAGTATCGACGAACCGGAGGACCGCTCCTTGAACCATTTCATTACTCGATCTCCTAATCGTCCTTACCGTGTACCTATATGCTGGAAAATCCGGGCTTTTTTCTTCTGGCACACATCTCTGGCAACTTACAAGGAAAATAAACGACTACTTAACGATGATTTTGTTTCCTTTGTTGATATATCGTAAGTACCGGCATTTGTAGTAAGAAAATGACACTTTCAAGACTGCAGAGAGCGCCTTTTTTGGCGTTTTCAAAAATAAATATAAAAAAAAATAAATAAAAAAAAAGCATTGCCTAGTAGAAAAAATGGTCAAACGAACAAATAAACAAGTAAGGAGCAAATGTTTGTTTTTTCTTCTCCATCCATTAACATTGAGGAGAATGTCTGACAACTAACGTCAAAATATAATACCCGATGGACAAGTCCAGCAGCACGCGCTCTTCCCAGGGAGAGACGCCATTTTCGCTTCGTATATTGTGACATGTGTACAGTGTATTACATGCCCAACCAAGCGCTTTTGGGAAACGATAATTGTTTCGCCACTGGTTGACGGACAAAACCTGATGATGTACCTGTTGTTGGATCGACAAAAAAATAATATGGTTCACCAGCCGTTTGAATCGTGTTTCTTTTTTGTTTCTCGCGTTCAAAAATACTTAAAGTGCAAACAACATTCGAACATCAGTTGTAAAATACAAGTCAACCGATTGCGCGCACATGCAACGATCCAAGTTTCCGTAATCGCATCATATATATATATATACAAGTGATGGTTATACCAGAGACGCGAGTATAAAGAGCGAAAGGCGGCGAAGCGAGCAAGCGACAACTAAACTATGTGTTTATAATCACATCACCCGCGCACGCTATGAAAGTATATATGAACAATAAAATTAATATAATAATAATAATACCTACATTGTAAGTTGTGTGTGTGTGTGCGCGCGCGCAAAAAACTTGACGTAAGTATCCTCGCGCGCTTCGCTCTGTGCGTGTGGAACTTGGCAGAGTGGAAAAGAGATGAGAGGAGGAACAACGAGGGAGAGCGGCGGCGTCACCCGCAGAAGAGAGAACAGATAACGCAATCTGCGCCTCCACTCTCTTCCTAACCAAATACACCGTGCACACCGTGCAATGTAATTCACTGTGTCACCTATACGCAAAAGGCGCCGTACACTTGTAACTCGCAATCACAATTACAATAAGTACTTACCTCTTATACGTTACGCACTTCACGGTCAACACCAAACTGCCAGAAACTGCACCACGGCGCAAACTATAATGCGTTCATGCGTGTGCGCGCTCCAACTTCGAAAGGCTGATGCAGCAACGTTGGATGTATAAAAGTAAAAGTATAGCCGGGTCCGTTGATGATGATACGGTATGCGTCAGCCGAGAGTCGAGATGCGAATGGACGGACGGGAATGACGAGGCGAGAGTTAATTTAGGTGCGATAATTTCCCTCGAACGTATTTATTTTATACGTATATATGTATATATTTTTTTTTTTTCGGAGTTTGAGAAATTAAACTTTGCGCGCGTGCAACTGTCCAACGGCACTTGCTCTTCGAGAGTATTCTAAAGTCAAACGGAACGTTGATGTTGTTACCTATACTACATAATGAATATACCTTATTCTTTATTGACAGAAAAAAAAGGATCTTTTTTGTTTTCGCTAAGCTTAAAAACGCTTTGAGCGCGGGGAAAACATTTTTTGCTCGTCGTCCAAGAGAAGCGTCGCGCCACTCGTACATACTGTACAATAATCGTGTCTTATACAGTTGGATCGTCGATTTTCGCGTCGCGTGTGAAAGTTACAAGTGTACGCTTGCAGTGTTGCACGGCCTGCCGTCGTATATGTATACAATGTATACAATGTATCGCAAGATACCATGATAAAAACGAGAAACGACGCCGGTGACGAGAGGCAACGAAACCGGCTCTCCGATCCTGTAACATATATATATATATATACATATAATATGTAGCTGCACGGCTGCAGCAACGCGAGAGCATGCGGTCTTTTTCGCGCTTACGTGGCCGGCTCCTCTCTATACAACAGCGTTGGTCGTTCGATCAGTCATTCTTACTCGGGACAATTTTTTTTTTTTTTTTTTTTTATCATCATGAGTTAATGTTTGAAGGTCCGACTCTCGTGTATATAGGTTAGCACGCGATCGAGTCTTTCTTTTGGCGTCATCGTGCCGTGCTACATTAGGACGTTTAAACGCGCGCCCCGCGTGTCCGCGCACACTCTACAATGCCTCTGCGTTCGACACACGCTGTCTTCTTCGCTATACTATGAAAATCATTTGAGCGAGAGGGAACAAAAAAAATGTCTCTCTCTCTTTAGCACTCGCGCGTTATTTTACGGGCATATAATATAATTATAACTAAATGTATAAATGACGGCGTTTGCCGAACGCAGCTAATGACTGTCTGCTGTACACACATACCTACGGAGTAACGTACATCTATATGGGCGGCCCCGCGTCAACGACTCCGAAATTTCAAGCGGCCTTAATTGATTATTGTTTGACGTTGGTAGATTGAGCCGATTTTTTTTTATTACGTCGCGTCTCAAGAACTGCTGACTGAAACAACAAGTCTCGACTGGACTCCAATTACATTGGGGTGTTTGGTGTGTGTGCTGTGCGTGACCGAAAGATAACGCGCTGACGTTTTCCACATAACGAGCGAGTACTTCCATGGAATAAAAAAAAAAAAAACAAAAAAAAAACCAATCCATCGATCGAATAAGCATCTCGTTGTGTATACACGTGCTCTAAAAATAAATAAAACAAAACCGCAACTCGAGCGCTCCCGACTGAACGGCTCCGATTGCCATTGTACAGCGCAAAGTGAGAATTGAAGCTAACGGGGTTAATCTCTGCCGGAAAGACGCGTCGGGGGAAAAGTACTACCTACCATCCAAACAGGAAGCAATAAAAAAAAAAAAATAAAAAAAAAGAGTCGCTTATTCTACACACGAGTATAGATGCTTGAATCGTGATCAATCAGCCAACAGGTATACATTATTAAAACGCGCACGAATCAGCTGCTTCATACAGTGGCTCGGCAATACATTCCCTGCTGGTGTGTATAAGGTATACCTGCTAACGCTGTATATACACGGGCCCTCTCTGTCGCCGCGTCACGCGGCGCTCCGAAATCGTATACAAGCGGTATATTATACGTGTATATAGGCACATAATATATATGCAAGAGCAACTCGCCTTTGCCGTCCTCGGGCTGGCTGCGACTCTCGGCACCGCCACAAGGATATACTCGATTGCCGCCCTGTTAACAAGTGTGCTTTTTGTCTTGCCCTGTCAATTTGTTTCTCCGTGCACATGCACGCTCTCGCGGGGCCAAATTCGATCGCATCACCGCGGAGGGTAATAAGAACGAAACAAAATAGACGCCTGTTGTGCTCCTTTCCTCCCCCCCTCGCCCCTCTGTCTCGCACGTCTTCTTTTTTTTTCCCCCCGGAGCCGGAGAGCTCGCAGCCTCACACCCACGTACTACATGAACGCCCCTCGGGTACTGTATACTTATTTATTGCCCGGCCGCGCCGTTCCTTCGCAGGGCTAACTCGCTCGCGACCTCGTTTCCCTCCTCTCTTCTCGCCCTTTACCTCCTCGTCAAACGAGCTGCAACAACAACCTGATGTGTTTACATCGTGGCCGAGTCCAGCAGCAGGTATACCCCTAGATAGGTGTGTACACCTATATACTCTTCTCCACGCGGACGGGCTAAAAGAGAGAGAAAACGGCGAAGAGGCGACATCAGCCGGAAGGCTACATCACGGGGGCCGGGAGTGAAAAAATTCCATCTACCTACCTACCAACAAGTGAAAAGAATAGGTGGAAAAGTCGCGCACAACTAGCGAAACGAAAGCTCGGCTCTTTATAATAACGCTCCCCGGTGGCAGCATGCACACACGCGCGTACATGATATACCTTACAGTACATAATATATATATATGTAGCCTGTGCGGCTGTAATATATAGGCAGGTTGTGTAGGTATACACGTGTATATATGTATGAGAAGCGCGTCGCGGTGGCTACGATCCATCACCAGATCCAATCCACCGTGTATATATATTTAGGTAGGTACACCGACACGCGACACTACAATGTTACGGGTATATCACTGGAGGAAGCGCGCTTCTGCACTCGTATATGCACGATATGAGTATATGTTTATATAATATAAAAACGCCGAATAAATAATATCCACTCTGTATTAATGCGCAGCGGTGTAATGTTACGGATGGGGGTATACATAAATAAATAAAGTACTTACATGAGCGATAGGCGGGCACGGCGCGGCGACAGCGATATTGTAAGTACACTTGTGAGCAAGAAAGTCCGCGTGCGAAAAATAAGCGAGAGTATAAGTGTATTACCCTATCTCGACAAAGGCAGAAAAACTGACTGACGGATACGTGGTTGGGAACAGCTCGGCCGTCGCCGTCCGACTGCCAGGGTATATACTGCGGCTCCGCGCGCCGCATCACGCATCTCTCGTTCGGAGTCTCGGAGCCGCCGAGCCACGCCGCAACATATTTTTCTCACTTGCGCGCATTCGAGCGATATATGTATTGTGTACACCTATATAGATGTATCATGGCATGCATGTGTACAAAATGTATGTCCGAGCATCAGTTTGCTCGGTTTGCTCTGATGATGCATGCAACAGGGGGAGGGAAAAAAAAAAAAAAAACAAGATAAGTAGTTAGGTATGCACGAAACCAGCCAAGGAATCAAGTTATTCTTATTTACGTTTAACCAATAACATAAGACGCAGTTATCGACACCAATAGGCATCCTGCGCACGTTAATTAATTTTTATACTTGCAGGTTGCGCGACTCCCATCAAGTGCGTCGCGTATCTACTTGAGAGAGCGCGCGTTCTCAAGAGCAAGAGAGAGAGAGAGAGAGCCTTTCTCATCATGTGGTTCTTCAGCTTCTGCGCGCTTTCTCTTGGTCTTGTTTCGCAAGCGAGTTCGCGTTTTTTTTTTCTTTTTTTCTTTTTTCTTATTCTATTCTTTCCTCGATCCCCGTGTACGCGAGCGCGTTCCCTTCCCTCCGAGGCCGGCCTCGGCGACTCCGAAACTTCCAAGACGCGCGGTATCGCGGCTATACGACACGTACATAAGCTGCTCTCTACTGGAAGGTTCGCACATCCACTTTACATCATACATGTACGCACGCGAAGTGGAGGATACGCGTGTAATGTATATAATACACCTATACCGGCGGCGGGCGCGGCTTTTTTGACGCGCTCCCTCGCGAAGTTGCCATGTAGGTGTACACACCTACACTGCCCAACTTCATCTACTGGGGCTTATAATACTATTTGCTTCTTCAAGATCATAGCGGTTTTTAGGGTCGAAAGCTACATCGAGCTTTCAGGATTATCGAGGTAAGTGTGCCTATACAACCCGGGTCCTCGGCTCGTTTATACGCGAAAGCTCTCTCGCCTCAGGCGCTTACGTTATACAGTTACCTACACCATATCAGCAAACGTGTATCACTACTGCACGCGCATGAACGCGTAGGTGTATACATAGGCATGTGAATTCATCCAATGCACACATCTATTGTATGTGGGTAGGTACGTAACCGCGATAAAGCACCCACGAGACGACGAGTCCTCCGGCGCGCTTTTGCCGCCTGGGTCCTCGGCTCTTTGGCCGTCACCAGGCGCGCGTTCTCGCGGTGAAACCCTACATAATATAACTATATGTTATATATTACATTGTGATGCGCATGCACACACACCGCGGCTACAGACGGACCGACGGAGAGCGCGTCCTCGAGCTGGCTCCGCTCCGCCGTTTTTGCGGGCTTCGTTTTACCGAGGGCAGGTGCGGACACGCACGAGCAACGGAAAAAGAACACACTTACCCTTTGGCGTGGGGTTGACGATACCGTAGTGGACCCTTCCCTTGGTGAAGCGACGAGCTCTGCGGCAAGTATACTTATCAAAAGAGCCGTGACACGAGAACACGTACGGCAATCGTTGATGACACGACCGGCTTAAACGACAACGTCTTTACTCAGCGGCGCCCGGCGCGATACTGAAAATAAGTTGGTGTATACGCGACTACGCGTTTTTCCTACGTATATATACGTATATATCATGCAGCAAGAGAGTCGAGCGGCGAGCACCCTGGCGAAGGTGAAATCCCGCCGCACACGCGCGCGCGTGCTCTCAACACAAAATAATAATTGTGCTTTGTGTGCTACTTACTTTACAACTTACACCTCTTTTGTTATTACTACTTTTTTTTTATGTTTACAGGTATCGGGTTGTAGGGTGTACTTAAGTATACAAGGTACTGTAATGTATGATCTCGAGTAATGTAAGGTACACCTATATAGGTACCAATGTTTTTATATAAGTCGGAGTGATGATGCCGGGGAACGAACCACGCGCGTACAAGTAACTCTCAACGCTTTGCTCCGAAACTGCGGCGGGTGAGGTAAGTTATATAGGCATGTACTTCCTGCAGCGTGAGCTGTACTATGCTTGCTATACCTGCAGAATCGGCGACGAGGCCGATGGGTTATAAAATACTCAAGTGTGAAATGCTTCTCGGCAAGCATGCGCATCGGCGGACCTGATTGGCTGGGCTCCAGTTTCTTCTTGACTGTTTAAAAAAAAGAGCGCGCGCTTCGAGGGAGTAACCCACCGATGGGGGACACCCTTCTTGTGAGAGCAAGGACCCCCTGGGTGCGGTTACGTCTATATATCTTTGACCCTGCAGATTGTGGCTCGGTTTTTTTTTTTTTTTTTTTTTTTTTTTCTTCGCATGATGGGGTACCGCGGCTCGTATATTTTTTCGTTTCTCCCGATGACCAAGGAAATAAGTTCATCACATTGCTAATTTTTTGGTCTTTTTTTTTTATTCGGGCCAATGTTGAGCTCCCTGACAAGCTTATAAATTTGGTCAACGGAGAAAAAATTTTAAACTTATCAAATACATCCACGTGAGTACTACACAGTTAACTAACAAAGTTTTATCACACCATTATGCGTATACAAGCAGGAGCGCGTATTTAATATATGGTGGTGGTCAGTGAAACAGCGGTGAATGTAGCCAATGGAAAAGATTGCATAGACGAAAAGTCGGTATTATACGACTCATTCAACGATGGCGAAGGAAGTGAATCTTCCCCTACGCGTTTGCGTCATTGCGTCTTACGACTTGCCACGCTACAAATACTATAATACAGTGACTATGAAGATTGAACTTCAAGCCGTTGTTTTTAAGAAGCTTTGTCCTTCCTGATTTATTTTCATAGTCAGAGACCTTTTTTTTCGATATCGTAGGAAATATAGTTTCGTCACCTAAATACCTATACAATCATTGAACAATTCGATCCTCGATTACCCTGTTTTTTTTTAGTGTGTTCTGCGTGTACATGTGGCGTCTGGCGTGTCAGTAGTCAATAGGTCCGTACAACAGCTACACACATAGGCTGACTAAATCGGTAATTCGATTGGTCGATCCTCACGATCGAGTGATGAGATACGCGAACGCATCATTAGTCCGTACATGAACTTATTATAAAATACGAGTAATATGCGGCGTTGTCCGGCAAAGGCAACATTGTTCGTAAAACGGATCTTGGTAAAATTGTAGGTAGATTTTACTAGAAAAACATTACGTTAAACGTAACGATTTCCAAAATACGCGGCAAGTAGTGATGGGTCGAATTACGCTAATATACGTATGAAAATTAGTTTTATTAAAAATAATTTAAGTATATGGAAACAGTGCGTGTAAGCAATATAAAATTGTAAAAAAATACTTTCATCTTATAAAATACAAACTCATCTTTTTACAACATACAGCAAGATCTGCACGTAATTGATTTTATAAGTAGTTAACCAACACTCCATTGCAGTTTCATTACACGTAGTTTTCCTTTTCTGGACCCAATTGATAGGATCTTCCAAGCCTTGAAGCCTGTAATCATCGTAAATTATATAAAACTAGTTGAATATATCATTGACGGCTAATACTTATAAATATAATTACCAAATTTGTTGGTTTATGTTCAAGCTTGTTCAAATTTTTTAAAGGACTAAGGACAGAATGTCTGTGGAACTTTTTATCCAAATTTTTCGATGCAAACTTTGACGGTGACTTTACAGCAGTTTTTGAATCGCTGAAAGAATAATTTCTCACCCGTACAGGACGCGGGGATAATCGCGGTAGCCGAGAATCCGAACTGATTGAGCTATTTTGTTTCACTGCTTGCGATTGACTTGGCGGTGGCGATGAAATTTGGTCTCGCCTTAGGCATACAAAATGATCATATACAAATTTCAGAGAAAATATTTTTTTTTTAAATCATCTTCAAGTTGAATTACCTTTGATTAGTTTTCAACGAAAAACTACGCCTTAAACCAGGGTTAAGCGAGGGCAAACTATCAGCCGATTTACATTTAAAACTGTTGCGCATCGGAATAGAGAGTCGGGTCAGGATTTCTTCTCGTTTCTTTGGTGCATCAGTATTTGGTGTTGACGAGGCTTTAGGATTAGATTTCGAAAACTTGTAGGCTCTACCAGAGTTCGGGGTACTACTTGAAACGTTTAAAATAGCGATTTGTGTTTTTGAAGGAGTGAGAGAAGCAGATTGTGAAGACATTCTTGGGTTTGTAAATACTGAAAAAAATTTTTTTTTAGTTATTAGAGAAATAGAATGGAAGTTTTGTTATTTACCTTGTTTTTGCATTTTACCCAAAGGAATCATAGCTTTTAGTGGTCCTTTTTTGGTAACAACTTCGGAACTTATCTTCTTTTTGAACTTAGCTGTGATCGACTCACTACCTATATTAGCTTTACAAAAAATACCATGAAAATCATGTGAAAAAATAAAGTTGACTGATATAAATTATAAATGTATCCGTACTTGTTGATGAATGTGGTTTTTTGCTTTCCTGATTAATGCTGTCGACTTTTTTCTTTCCTAATGCACTTGCGTTGTTTTGAAAAAGTCGAATGTTCAACAAACCTGATTTTCTTTTATCTTTGATATTTGGAACATTAGAACTATTCATATTGAAAGATTTTGACAGTAAATCATCTTTTCGCTGAGAGAGTCCTTCAAATGATTTACTCTACAGAAAAAAAAAGTTTTTTTTTCCACTAAATGCAAACGAGTAACAAGATTCAAGAATAGTAAGAAATTTACCTGTGATTTTTTGGTACTTTTTGGAGTGTTCCATGGTATTAAAGAATTAGTTGCCATTTTTGTTTCAGTTTTTGATTTAAGGGCTACATTTTTTTTTTCTTGTAGCTCTTTAGCCATAGTTAACATAGAACCAATACTTGTTAAAAAATCTACAACATCAGCCTCATCCTTTTTATTAATTATTTTATCAAGAATACTTTGAAGATTTTTTTTTGATTTCTCATCTTCAAAAGGCATGCAATTTGTACTATCAATGTTTGATTCAGTGGTATTATCTACATCACTTTCAATAGACATCACACCTAAATCTTCAATAGTTTGAACACTGTTTATTTCACTACTGTCATCACTTTTTTGTACAGGTAAGTCACTTTTACTGTTTTCTTTAAATTGAGTAAAATTGGTGCTTTGTAAACAATTTTTCAAAAGTTCTGTATTGTCGTCACATTTGACTCCTAGTATGTTTTGTAAATCATCCAAGACTTTACATGCACGTGGATTATTTTCTTTGTTGATTAATTTTTGCAAGTCCAGTAATAGTGACGTAGCTGCAGCTTTTTTTTCAGAATCATTTTGCTCAATAAATTCACTTTCCAAGGACTTTGCATCGTTATTTGTAAAAACTCGTTCTTCTTCTTCTGTAACTGATTTTGGAATTACTTTTTTTGGCGGCGACGTAGGCAAATCTATCAAATCATTGACAGCTTCATCATCGGATGGAGGTAAACAATCAAAATCGAATTCAGTCTGTTCAAGCGGCAAATTATTATCTGTTGAAGCTGTGAAACATTATAATATGAGAATATTAATTTAATCTTGTTGCAAATACTTGTATTATTTCTTACGGGCATGCTGAAGGCTTGAAGCAAGCTTCTCAAATGTTTCTGCAATACTTTGAGCTTCATTTACAATGATATCGTCGACACCTGATGGATCCTGAAAACAATAATACAAATCGCAGTTTTTTATATGAAAAAAAATTGTTACAACAAAAAAATGAAGATTGCAGATATGACTTACGCTGAAAACAGAGTTGGAACTAACATCCAGATCAACAAGTTTATTTACCGAACTTTTTGCACATTCCTCATCCACTGAGGACTTTCTTTTTTCGCTCGATGACTCTTTACTAGATTCATGATTGGTAAAGTCAATTTGAGTTGATATTCTTCTTTTAATTTCATAAAATTTTTTAATCAAGTCTGACTTGTCACTTGACTTTCCAGAGGTATTCTCTGTCGTATTAATAAAAGCTCTGTTCGCAGTGTTATTAGATAACATAAATGAATTGAAAGATGATGTAGCGTTTGACGGTATGGTTGATAAATCAGAAATCTCGCTAAAAGAACTTTTGATGTCAAGGTGTATCTTGTTGGAAGAACCATTAGGGATAGCAGAAATATTAGATAGCCCAGAATAGGTTGAGCTGTCACTGTTCAACCTCTCAAACGTGTCTCTGTTTGCAGATAGATACAATTGTTTACTCAAATTACTGGAATCACTAATGCTTGATTGATTTTTTCTAAATGCGTTGTTAAAGGGATCCTCAAATGAGCCAGACTGATGTATGCTGAATAAATCGTTTGCTCCGCACCCATTATTTTTCAAAGCATCAGGTACAGAGCAAGATCTTCTACCTTTTATGCACGGCGACTTGTCTACTGACCCAAAATCGTTCTGCGACGCGGAACTACAACGCACCAGAGTACCTGCGGTAGCACTCTTGCCTGTCGTGGCAAATTCGGAGCCCAACAACGAGTCGTCATTCATGGCCGAATTATTCAAAATAGACAAGTTGTTATCACAGGCAGCTGAACAGATGACGATTTCGGGCATCTTAGAGACGTCGCCGCTCTGCAGGGCTTTTGTCGACTCCAGCTTGGGTATGAAGCACTTTGCCTGATCAGCGGTGACTGCTTCCACGACCCTCTCAAAGGGATCCTCCTTGTTTCTCTCGTAGTCCGTCACCTTCTTCATGATCAGGTCGAAGGGATTACTCTCGTAACTGCGACGGCCTTGCGCCAAAGCTGGACCGACCTTGCTTGGGTCACGTTCGTCGTCTCTTCCTGGAGACTCGGGAGCCGGGATCAACGGGGACGCAAGTTCCAGGCTCACGGTTTTCACGTCCGCGCTCTCAAAATCAATCAGATCCATTTTGGGTGCTGGCTCTCTCACCTGTAAGTACGACACAATTCTCCTTTTTTCGACTTTGCTCCGGTTTTTACTCCTCGAACCTTATTGCCACCATCAATCGTGCCTTACATTGCGTTTGTTTGTTTGACCATACAACTATCATTGAGGCGATTATTATTTTAACGGAATAATTGACTAAAACATTTGTATACCTATTGGTTACTTTGTACACTAAGCACTACTTCATCGTTATCTAATTATACATTGCCGTTGAATTAAAAGGCAAGTTTGGTACGACAGGTGCGGAAATATATCTTATCGAGTCGACTTGTCGGTTAGACTATTTTGAATTGTATTTAGGGTGCTCCTTAAAGTGTGTCTCTCTCCCTCGTGTGCGGTTAAAAACTCCCGTTTTCCGCGCGCAGTTTCGTACGTCGTTGTCGCTGTCGTCGCTGAAGCGCTGAAGTTGAAAAAAAATTTAGACATTTGAAGTTGACGCGCGCCGTTATATAAAATTTCAATTGATTATGAATTGTTTATCCAGTTTCTGTAATAATTTGTTATTAACCATTAAAAGTAAAATGAAAGAAAAACCACGTCAATTAGAATTTCCTTTTACCAAAAATTTTACTATTTCTAATCAATTTTATACATTTTTGCATTTTTTGATATTTAGGGTGTAAGGATAATTAAATTAAAAAAAAAAAAGCTCAAGTACGAAAAAATTGTGATTAAAAATTTCACTGTTTCGGCTGTTGTCGATACTAGAATAAATCAATATACTTTTTCAATGTTTTTCAAGTATTTATAAAAACAATCCCTTACACACGCGACGCGCTCTTCTCTCGTTTTGGATAAATAAAGAAGTTGATATATTAGTTCCTCGACTATTTACTTCGTGAGCACCCCAAGGCCACAGAATCCCACGGAACACTAATAAATATCATTGCCAATCTAGTCATTATTCTTGGGGATCTCTACAATATGTTTCTAGTAAAATATTGCATTCACGGATTTAAAAATTTATGTCCACGTGGTTACATTTATTTTTCTTTACATCCCCTAGCGAAAAAAAAATTAAGCAATCACGTTGACTAAAAATAAAACCGCGTTACGGAAACTTTTCACGTCTCCGATGCAACATATCAATAGTGAGAGAAAAAAAAAAAAAAAAAAAAAATCACTGTTTTCCTCGTGTCAAAGTCATTATTACCTACCGCCAGGAGAGGCTTGCCGTTTAAAAATTCATTCGACACGTAATAATACACCAAGCTGGCGTGCATACACACACACGTGCAAAATGCAATGACGCTCGATTCGAGCAAATAGCTAGTGTTTATCCTTTGAATGTAGGGTAAGAGCTACTGCCAGCAAATTAAAAAAAAAAAAAAAAAAAAAAAGAAATCATTCAAAGACAACTTGCGAATCCCAAAATACTGTAAAACGTAAGAAGGAAAGAAAACGTCAAACCACGTGGATCGATGAAAACTGCGTGGTGAGAGAATGATGCGGCAAAATGAAAACAAAATCAACGGGCGCTCTTATCGGAGGGAGGCGAGGGCTGCTCATAAATGAATCAAAGGATCGCGGTGGACAAACAAGAGCACGCTATTGTTTACTCTTGGCAATTATTGTCCCTGGCGCCCGCTACTCTCCTCCACTCCCGATGCTCTACATGCGTTGCGTTAGAGTTGCACCAGCCCGCGCGTGTGCACGGCACAATTGTGTGTAAAAAAAAAAAAAAAAAAAAAAAAAAAACATTACTTGAGCTGCAACAACATTTGGCCCTCTAGTCGATAACAACGACCATGGAGGTCTGGAGCGACGAGCCTAAAAAAAGTACATACACCAGAGTCCTTTGCACACATTATCTCCGCGCACAGTTCCCTCTATCTTTTTTTTTTTTTTTTTTTTTTTTTTTTTAATTTATAAGACTTTGACTAACACTCAGATAAAACAACAACAACGCGACCGCGCAACGACCGACTGGAGGCCGAGTCGAAAGTCGGGCCCAACAGCGAGAAGATCAAGTCGGACGTGTTTCACACGCTCGCGCCGATCTACCACATGAGCAAGATCTTTGGCCTATTGCCGGTCAAGTTTACCAAAGACAGCGGGGGGAGGTACAGGGGCCGTCTCCAGGGCTCCCAAATCATCTACGGGTAAGTTGGTGAGGCGCGCGGAAAAAGGACACAATTTGAACTTGTTTAATTGGTCGGAACAGAATAGTCGTTCTGCTCGGGTACATGGGAGCCCAGTGCTACGGGCTCTATCGGGACCTGAGAAACGGCTGGCAGAACAGTACGAGGCTGTCCTCGGAGACGGCCATCACGGTCACCTGCAGCGACGTCCTGGCGGTCATCAGCGTCGTCACCTCGGCCATTATCGGCTCCTCCTTTCGCTGGCGTCACCTCCAGGCCGCTCTCAACATGATTGTCGATGTAACTGGACACAAAAAAAAAAAAAAAAAAATGCGTTGTTTTTTCCCCCCATTCATATTAATTTTGACGTTCAGGTCGACGAGAAGCTGGGGATCATGACCTCGAAGAATCTGCGGAGAGGTTCGATCATCGTGATATCGTGTACCTTTGTTTACCTCGTGACCATATCATTGCTCGACTACATATCTTGGAGCTACTCCTTCGACAAGAAAAACGTCCAGGTGTACGACGACAAGGGCCCCATCAATTACAGCCCGATTTATTTCATGTACATCGTCATCATGACCTTCGAGATGCAGTACGCGCTGGTGCTCTTCAACGTCGGCGAGCGTTTTCTCAAGCTCAACAAGACCATCGAGAATCTCACCAAGACCAATCTCATCATCGAGTACTTTCGCAAGGACATGGGACTGAGTATACATTTTTACTTTTTTTTTTCAATAATGTAAATAGAGTACGCGAGTGAGAGTACATAGTATTTTTTTATTGAATTTCCACCCAATGTGAAGCTGCTCCCTCGGATCCTCGGAAAAATTTGTTCCAAGCTATTTCGTTCGTCTCCTCCGATATCGGACACTCGCGACTGCGTCGAACGAACAAGGTCTCGGATTTCATCGTATCTAGCGAAGGTAATAATATTAACTCTCGAGGCGTTTTGTAACGTTTCAATTTAAAAAAGTCTCGATCGCGTTTGTAAGTATACCCACGATTCATGACATTTCAATGGAAAATATAATTTTTTAATTTGAAAAACCTCGTGTTGATTGTTGAGGAAACGGAGGCACGTCGGAGGCTATCGATCAGCTGATAACTCTGCACGGGACGCTCTGCGACTGTATAATACGCATCAACAAAGCGTACGGTGGAACCATACTCATCGGCACCATCAGTTGCTTGATACACCTGATAATAACACCGTACTTCTTGTACAACGAGATCTACCTCGACAACAGCAGCAACTGGTACGTCCTCGCCCTCCAAGTTTTTTGGATCATTTTTCACGTCTACCGATTACTGCTGTTCGTCCAGCCCTGCTACATGGTCTCGGTCAAGGTTGATTTCAATAATAAATTCTATATGTAGTTGTTTTTCCTTTTTTTGAAACTACGTTATGGCAAATCAAATGAATCGATAGGCCAAAATCACCGGTGCTCTAGTGAGCCAAGCGCTAGCTCAAAATTGGGATCCCAAAGCAAAGAAACAATTGGAAATTTTCTCGCTGCAGCTGTTACACAGACCGGTCGAGTTCACTGCGTGCGGACTTTTCTTCCTGGACAGAGGCCTCGTCACATCGGTAACTATGAGAGATTCTCAACGTCTTTGGGACGAAACTTTTATTTTTATTCACAATTTTTACAGATAGTCGGCGCAGTCACCACGTACCTTGTCATCTTGGTACAGTTTCAAAATGCCGATGATACCAAGGGAACGAAGCATTTATTGCAAAACGCCACGGAGCTGCTCAAAAATGCCTCAAGCTTTAAAAATATCAGCGTGTTTAAAAACACTTCCTAATACATCAATCAATCGAGCAGAAAACGTATTGCTACGTCAAAGGTAATTTTTTTTTTTTTTTTGAATGAATCGAAAAATGTGTACTGTAAATAAACGATTTTATTGTTTTATTCATTTCACAGATGCGCACGTGCAATCGCTATCTGAGAACCATAAATACGCGATTAACGTCTAAAGACAGTAAAGAACGCGAAAATACTTTTACTTTTTTGCCTTCGATTATTTTTTTCTTCTTTGTAACTTCAACGTATATTACGTACATTGGACAATTTATCCGATGTTTCAATGTACTAATATTTCAATTTTTTGTATTCCTTGTACAAAATTGTTTACATTATTATTCTATCTTGTCTTATTTTGTTTTCAGTTTTGTAATTAGAATCAGTGCTCGATACGACACTTTGTTACCCCGTCTCTACTACTTTTTTATTCACGGTCTCACGTTTTGTTTGATCGAGCAACGATGAATTTATTATTTTTCAGAGTAAAGGCGCCGGGCCAACCGGAAGAAAAAAGCTCGCAAAACCACCCAGAGGCACAAAAAAAATCGAAACACATTAGAGAACTAATTTTATTTCTCTTTATGCGTGCAAAAACAAATTGCATTTAATGTGTATGTGTACATATATGTTATATATATATATATACACATAAAATCTTAATGTAATAATTTAACATTTTTTAACGATCAATGATTTTTTTCAGTTTTTATTTTTCATATCATCTAAAATAAAGTGTTTGTCACAGCCAGAGCAGACTGTCTTTAATTTGTGTTGTTTAAAGCCAAACGGTGAAATCAATACAATATTTCAATCTCTCATTATTTTTAACCTGCTTCAACAATAAACCAATCTTTACACACAAAATTTATTCACACATACGTACACACCAATCACACTGTTAAATATATTTATATCTTTTATCCTTAATAATTAAAATTTTCTTCGGTTTTTATTTGCATCCTAATATGATGACAGCAATCACGCATCCTATCACTCAGTTTAGATACTTTTTTTTATAATTTTTTTTTTTCTTTAATTTTGTTTTTTATACACGAGACACGATTCACATTCATTGACGCCGCTTTGTATAAACAATTTAATCTATAAATAAATATTGTTAATTCGCTAAAAGAATGACGGTTTATTTCGTACCTTTCGCGAAATTTTTCATTCATTTCTGCTCCCAAAACTTCACTGTACTCCACTTTCTCCGTTTTTTCTTTGTAATTAACACAGTCTTTACATACGTTACAAATGTGATGCGTATAAACTCGCCAAAAGTTAACATTCTCATGGCGCCTCGTCGTTTACATATATGAAAATCAGCCAAGTTACGAACTGTTAAAAATCAGCATCAAGAAGCGGCTCAGTTAGCGGTGCTTGCTTCGACGATTGTTTTTTGCTGAAAAGCCGAGTCGCAGCACTCATCCTTGCCTTTCCGCGCCGAGCGATGGCAGGCCATTATTGGTTGTGGCAGAGGCATAGAATGTTGCTGTTGGTGCTGTTGCTGATGTGACTCGATGATTGCGTCAATAGCATAGTTTTTAACGAGCCCATTTGATTGATGCTGCTGCTCTACCAATTGACGAGAACTACCTGGATTCATTTGTAAGAAACACTTTTGGCACACGCGCACTGGATTGTACAGCTGCTCGTTGGGAACAGGCGTCCAGTTTTCCGAGCAATCGGCGCAGAAAATGTCTCCGCAACACCTGTAAAATGTTTGTAACTTGAATTACTCGAAAGTTCAATCACCATTGACATACATTTATGATTAATGTACAGTACCTGCAATGGTGTTTGCGCCTGCCAAGCCAAAATACAGTGCTACAGCCTGTGCACATGTTGACTACGTGATCTGGTACCCAGCGAGTTGGAGCTACAGGCTCTTCTAATGCTTCCCAAGACAAGTCTGAGGGTACTGATTCGCCGTGATCGACAGTGCTTCCAACAGAGTCTGGTAACGAGCTCTATAGGGAAAAATATATTATTAATACGATTCTCAACAGTTATTAAACACGAAAGTCATTTTTTATGCACGAAACTCACGACATCGCTAACTCGATCTGAATCTATGATGTTGCTGTTGGACACGTGATTGATTAGAGCCAATCTCGTTGCATATAGCTCTTTTTTCAATGCCTCCACGACGACCTGTAATAATTTATAGTTTATTGAAATTCAGATCAACGATACATTCAACTTTACGTACAGAGTGTTGAACTTGTCTTAAAACGTAGAGTCAAAAGTACGTGAATAAATATTATGAGCACATGTGCACTTTACCGTGTGTTCATTTATGAGTTTGGCAACTCTTTCTTGTACTTCATCCCCTTTTGTTAGTGGCAGGCCATCGTAATCCACTAAAAAATTTTCCTTGTCCTGATGATGGGTAGGCGATGCTGGAAAAGTACTGCTTGATATTCGTGACGACACTGGAACTCCATTACTTTCAGTTGTATCGTTGACGTGGTTAAAATTTTGATTGCGGACAGAAGAGTGACAAGTGACACTTGTGGGCTCAACGAAATGATTATTTTCGCCATTTTGAACGTGATTCGTTAGCACTCTGTAAATCAAACATTTTAAAAATTAAAACATCCCAATGGCAACCAGTATGGTCCTAAAATAATTATTCCTTTATTGAAAATACTTACGGTTCCTTTTCAACGCTATATTTTGCAAGAATTGCATCACCATTAGGTATTAATGTGTCTGTAGAGCTATCTCCTGAGTTACTAGTTGGTAAGTCGACCGACTCTTGCTCGCCATTTAATAAATTCTTTTTGCTTTCAGTCTCTTTGTAGGTTGTATTGATTATTTCAGAATCGTCATTATCACTTTCGTTTGCACATCCATTTAAAGTCTCAACTTTTTCCGGCTCTTTCTGCACATTGCCCTCGAATTTTCTAATATAATTGACAAAAAATTACAATTAGAGTTTTAGAGTACAAATAATTTAATCAAAAGAGCTTACTTTTCAATTGCGATATTCGGATCGCTTAATCTTCGAGGCAGGAAAGAAGTATGATCTTGTACTTGAATGAGATCTCCAAAAGAACGAGTCTTGGTCATTTGTCCTTGTAGCTCGTCACTATCGTTATTTTCTATGTCGATTACCGGGACACGTGGAGTTGAGTCATTGGTACCTGCATAAGGTTCTACAGTACCGAGATAAACGTCGGACCAAAGCTTAAGATCTCGCACATTAAAACTAGGCCATAGCACCTGTCAAGGTTGTGATATATAGAGTTGAGCATTAATTGTTCAAATAACATGAATGTCTAGCTTTGAATAAATAAAAACAACTTACATTATTTTTGCCGTCATAGAGACCATTTTGAAAAGTCGTGGAATTTAAAAATTGCCATACTGAAAAGCTACGCTCGCGAACTCCTAATTGCAGTCTTTCATGCCTCGTGTTACACAAAAATGTACCAAATAATTGAGAAAATACATGTTGAGCTAATTTTACCTGTAAAAGAAAGCATTCAATTAAAAATTTTTACCACGAAAATTTACCGCGATTTCAATATATCACTTACAAAGTATAAAGACGACATCTCAAAACTGCACTTGAATTGTTTGCTTATTTGATATACGCAGTCTAGCCACTGTAAAAAGACTGGGCACCGTTCGTTAGGATCTTCACATCCTACCGTATGACCGCAACGATCGGCAAATTTGTGGCCAAAGTCGAGCCACTCCTTTTCGACTAAAACTTTGAATCCCTGTGAACATAGATGAAACACATGACTAGAGTTGATTCATCAGATAAGTAAAGTAAAAAAAAAAAAATATGTATGAAAAATGACAACAAACCTCCATCGTGCGGTAGTACGGATCAAGAAGTATTTGAGCAAGAGCAACGATTTGAGGTGTTCTATCCCAACCATCACTGCAATGAACTAATACTGGCCGCCCTTCTATCTCGATTGCTCTGGCAACTGTAACAGCTGCCCTCAGCAATCCAGACATATTTTGCATCCATTTTGTGGCATCCAAAGCGCTCAGCCAACTGTCAAGTAATTAAAATATTGCGTTTATTAATACACACGGAAGAATCTCCCTCCGGACCTCATTTTTCTTGCCAATAAAAATAATAACTCAAGTTGATTCGAGTTTCAAGATTTTTTATATTACTTTTGATCGGCATCGGCGCTACAAAGTTGTCGTAGTTGGTGAAAACTCTTTCTTATCGCGTGAATGTTAGCGAGATTCATGAACTGTATATCACTACTGGGGTAGTATTCCGGACACTCGCAGCCACCACCCCGTGCTCGATTCGCCACTGCCGTCGCGTAAGACCTTGCATCGATAATCAAGACTTTCTGCAAGAAAAATAATTCGTAATATTAACAAAATTGCGTTATTATTCAGAAAGAAAGGGGGAGACAGTTTTCTTTACCTTGGGCGGAGGTGCTCGAGCTGGCTCGTCTTCAGCGTCGAAATCCGGCGAGTCGACCCCAGTGGAGTCGCCTCTGTCGTAGGAACATGCATCCGCTAATGCTTTTAGAAGATCTTCATCTTCCGAGCTTCGCCAACCCAACCATCCGACCTCTGGTTGGCTGCTGCGAGCTATCACAGCCCCATTACCGGTATGTCTGAAAATATGTATGTACAGCTATGTTGTCAGCTTCTTTGATTGTGTGTGATTCCGTAAAAATCAACGTACCTCCACACTACCGACGGAATCCTTCTGGAACTCCTGAATTTGGCAACGGCCTCGAGAATTTGGTCAGATATGCACGCAGGAACGAGTAATTGAGGCGGATAAGACGGGCACATTTGGTAATCTTTGTTTATTTGACTGATACGCCAAGTTCCGTTGACGTTGAACTTTAGCCGATTCACCTAAAATGAGATTTCGTGAAAGAAAAAAAAAAACATGTAGTCTCACACTTGAGTAATTTTTCCACTGAGATAAAAAAATATTTTCCCATACTTCTGCGTTAAAAGTGTCGATAAAGTTGGTCGTATCTTTCTGTAGCCTGGGATATTCCTTGCCCTCCTCCTTAGTCCAGGCATAGTAAGCGAACGAGAACATGTCATCGATGCTCTTCTTTGGAAGAATAACTTTGTGTATACGTTTGTACCAATCCGTACACTGGTCGTTTGTCGTAAAAGAGCAACTGCAATGATAACGTGAAAATTAAAGATTTCTAGGTCAGTCGAGAGGGAAAAAAAAAAGACAGACTCCCAATCAATAATATTAATCGAATGACTGTTTTTAACAAAAGGTCGGATTTATAATTCATCGTCAAACTGTTTGTTTTCCCAAGTCGTACCCTTTTTTACACGCGACATCATGAATCATCGTTACTCCAAGGTTTGACTTCATGTGGACAGTACAATATTATCAACCAACGGGGGAAATTTACTTTTACCGGGATGAAAAAAGAAAACAAAACAAACAAAATGAGATGTTTCTCGCATTGATGAATAAGCGAGTGTATAGTTCTGCGAACAAGTCATATACACATATACATTGAAGGGGGGAAAACGAAGTGCACACAAAGTATATGTCAAGTACTGACGTAACAAGTAATAAACAAGAGACTTTGAAACGAGTTATTCATGTAACAGCTAGCGCCGTCGTCACGAGAAAAAAAAAAAACAAAAAAACAAATGGCAGTACACCTGTTTGCAAAAGAAAGGGATGGGGGAAGAGGAAAACCAGAGAGAGATGGAGGTACAAACCTGTAAGATCGGGCATCTTTGCAGCCAATGTGTAGGAAAAATATCTCCTTGACCTCGAGGTGCTCGATCAGACCGAGGAGTATGTTGTGGCATCCTTTGGTGGGCCCGTAGACGTAGAGCCTGTAGTTGGAAAGAGCGAGCACGCCGTCGGACGTGCGACCCAGGGCTATCAGGTACTCGCCGCTCAGCAGCTCAAAGGGCACCGCCAGCTCGGGCTCGCTGAAGTCGATCTTGTGCTTCGGGTAGAGCTCCGAGGCCTGCAGGGCGCAGATCGACTGCAAACTCGTCGGCTCCTCGGAACTTTCCATCATCTCAGTCTGCGAGTGACAAAATTAAATGACCCCCTTTTTATTTTTCATTCTCGTTATTGATACATATGTATACATACAGGGAAACCTAATGCCTAATATGCAGTTACATAGACATATTAATAAATATTTATCTCGTGTGTGTACTTATGTGTGGAGCTTCATTAAAGTCACAATTGACCTGTCTTGAAAAAAAGAAAAAATTTTTTTTTTGGGTTACGAAGCACTAGGGGGCGTACAACAACAAGAACAAATAATAAACAAACCAGTGATCTGTATATATTTTTCCCCATCCGCGAGAGAGAGAGAAGAGAGCGTTCACATCGTGAGTAAGTGCATCATGTGTGCCGATAGCGGCTTATCGGGCGATTGCGCGAGGAAAAAGAATTTTCGAAAAATTCGCGTGTCTATTTTCAACTTTATCGCGACGCGCGTCACTTGAGGGAAATAAGAATTTGACAAATCTCCTCTCCTGTGCACACAGCGAATCAATAAACTTTATAATATGTACTGACAGCGGAAGATCATATTTTCTCCCTCTACGTAGACGAGGAGGCAACGAACAATACACGGCATCAAGTGTAGAGACATTCGCTCTCTCGCGCTTATCGAGCCACCAGATAACTTTTCTTTTTTTTCTTTCCTCTTAGCGGTGCAGTTGTTGGATGTAACTAACGTACAGAGATGTTCGCGAACAACGCCACGAAAATAAAAAAAAAAATAAAAACTGCACTTTAGCTAAATGTGTCTTATGAAATGGACATTTTTTTTCAACCTTCAAATTCGCCAACACAAATCAGTTTCCTCTAACTTGTGGGAGGATTGTAACTTTTTGGGTTCTTTGGCTTATTGTGAGAAGAAATTTTTTTCCTCAACTACATGGTCAAAAGTGCCATTTTTTTTTTTTTTATACACGTGGAAAATCAATGTATCAAAAAAATTAAGTTTCTTTTGTAACTGCAAATTTCACGTGAAACTGTTCATGTGCACACTGTATCGCTGTATACACACTTGGCATAAGATATACCTGCAGTTTGCGCGAGTATAAAAAAAGCGCGCCGTAAACTTTCTTCTCTGATTGATTTAGCGATGTGTGTGCGCTATACACGTAAGCGCCTATCAAGGAGGAAGAGAGAAAGTGTAACGAAACACATTACTTTTTTTTTTTTTTTTACATTTGATGAATAAACAAAGACAGATCTGAAAATCATCGATCTCGACAGGTGCGAAATTTAGTAGTCGACGAGCTACCGAAAATAATGCGTATCATCAGTTAATAGTTGAGTACCGCATTGAAAGGGCAATTTTGCTTCTTGCAGCCAAGGTTGAACGACCTCTCTCGCAGTTTATTTTCTCTACCAACAAATATAAAAGTGACGTCACGTGAATAGCGAGTGTTGAACAATGAAAACAAAATGGATATTATTTTTTGTTATTATTCGCCGTTCAGAGACTTTTTTTGGTACTTAGCGAAATTCGGTCGTGGAAAGGGAAATATACAAATAGAAAGTAGAATTTCTGGATTTCCAACGTTAATCCACATGGGTTCGATAAACTTTGTCGAATTTGTTGTTTTTACAGAGTCCCCAGAAACATACAGGTAATACAGTAGACGAAAAAAAACCACAACGCTTACAGGTGAAGGAAACAAGACAAGTACCTAGATTATACAATTTCCTGACTGTCCTAAGAAAGTGGCAAAGGGATCTTTCGATCTCGTAACTGTTTTTTTTCTTTTACGAGTGAAAGAGAGCATCACCAGTGCGCATATTTTACAATAGTATTGCGGTGGTGGTATTATTGGCGCTAACGACTCTCTTTCACTGGGAAAAAGTTGGAGGAAGTTTTTTTTTCTTCCATCTACTCGACTCGCCCGTTTGACTCCTAATGGCATTTAAATATATATTTCGTAGAAACTCCTTTTAATGCTCATTTTCCGTGATTGATTATCCAATTTTCTAAGTAAAAAAGCTGGTCAACCAAGTTGGAAAAGTTACCGAGTTTTATTTTTTTTATACATTGATCAAAGGGAACAATCCTTTTCTCGACATAAAACTATGAAACTATGGGTCAAGGTGTACTATACAAGGGGACTTTGTAACTAATATATATGAGAAAAAGGTAGGATTATACTTAATCACAAACGAAGTATTAAGGGGTCGTTCGTCCACGTGGTGTCAGAGAGGCAGACGATATTGCCACCGGCACGTATATACACACCACAAAAAATCGATGATGTACCTATATATAGGTGCCAGAGCTAAGGAAATGCGGAAGGAAGTTAGTGGAGGGGGAGGGATATTATGCCCGTACATGTTTTTCCTCTCCTTTCGCTGCCATGTAAGTGTGGTGTATAGACGCAACCAGACGAGAAAGAAATAAAAAAAAAAAAAAGAACCGCATTCCAATGTTGATGATACTACACGCGCGCTCGCTGTGATTATTGTGCGCTCGACGTCGGAGGCGCCGCTATGATAGAGGATACACCTCTTGGCTCTCTCTAAGCGCTACTTTTTATTATTTCCCCCCCCCCCGTTCTCGAAAGCCTTACATGCTATACTTATGTATAAAAGTTTATTATTATCGCATCCTGGAATGCGCGCGCGCGACCGAGATGCAATAAGTAATATTTTTTTTCTTTTGTAATTGATCGATTCGTACATGTGTGCGTGTATCTTTCTCAACTGACTTGGACGGCGTGGGATATGGTGCAGTCGCATGCACCGGACATTCGATTTTTGTAGACTGCAAGTCGCGTATAGGTTTAAACATAGAAAAGTGAAAGTACTCGCTCAAACCAGTTTTTGGATATAAATATACACTACACACTCTTATACGAGAGGAGGCACGATAACTAATATACTTTCATCTGTCCATCCGATTTGACAATAAATGTTGTGGACATCGCGTTACTCATGGGTTGTTATCATAGGTGATAGGTTATGACTAACAAACCGTAAGTATATATATGTGGCCGGATCAGAATTCCACTAACTGTACAATAAAAGTATCTAAACCCATGAATAGTTAAATTTGAACAAATGAATCACGATACGAATGGTCAGCGATAACTGTTGGTTCGCGTCATAGTTATTATTGTGTGTTGTTGCATCATGATTATGGTTGTTGTTTTTTATCATGAATAAAAGACAATCATTCGAATTTTGGAGCTCACGAATTAAAAGGGTAAGTTGTTGTACGTTATTACGAGCTAAAAGCATTTATACCTAATACGTTTAAAGGCCAACCAAGTGCACTAAATACATACATACATATATCTGCATACTTTTACAATCTCAAACACATATACAAACGCACATGATGTGTATTGTACTCACATCAATGGGCATGGTATGGAATAATCATTTTTTTAATTACATCACCACGAGTTCAGGAACACTTGCATATGTAGCAGTAGATGCATTGTGTGTGAGCGTATACACACATACATTGGGGAGGTATGTATATGCACCTAATATATACGTTTCGAGCAAGAGCTGTTTTTCGTTTATTATACTGCACAATGCACTTATTATTTTCAAGGCGAATAGGTGAGCGACGCACGGGTATCCGTATGCGAGAATGGATAAAAAAAAAACTTATTCGGCGAATTAACGAACGATCCAAGACGAAGCGAGAATTCGCATGGTCTTTACGCATAGATTAATGAATAATACAAAGTTATTACACAATGATTCCGCTAAATAAACATTAGAAGAGTTCAGATGGACAAGTTAAAACATAAAAAGAAAAATAAATGTACTTTTAGCAGTAGTGGTTGACTCAGACTAAATAGGTTTCTTATCTAAACTCTAATTTGGCATCACCATTTGTGTATATAAATTGAATGGCAGCGAAATTAATCACTTCTGATTCGACATTTATTAAGGACGATTGATGAATTGCTGCTGTTAATTAAGCTCGAACGCCATAAACGTTTGTAACAACCTTTTTTATCGATAATTTACGGATTTTTAAAATTCATCAAAAATCGTTGAACTCCGCGAGTATTTAACTGATACGAGATTTTTCTTTTTTTTCTTTTTTTGTTTATCAAAGATTCGCGGTAGATTTACCGCAAAGCTTGTATTCTGTTGTTTCGATAAAAAAATAAAATAAAAAGGTCGAGAATATTTTGCTGCTGACTGACTTGACTTTTATAAGTAACGCTGCAAGCGATTGGTATCTCCGACCAATATAAATGTTGTGGCTAGCCAATGTGAACATTATCAGTGCGGATTGTGGCGTTCTTTCATAGCACGACAACAAATTAGCGAAAAATTCGAAACATCGTTTTTTCGATGCGGCACAGTCACATGGTTTTTTTATACTCTTGTGCCGTTGTTTCGTTATAAATATATAGCACAAGCAACCTCAGCGAAATCTATTTTTAAATGCTCAACAAAGATTTGCCTTTAACAAAAAGTATCGTTATAAATAAAATTCGCCTCGAGGGGCAGAAAAAATAAAATAAGATCGGAGTATCAAGCAATTTTCTTTGTTTACTTATTTTTTTACTGTAAAAAAAAGAAAAAAAATTCCAGAAAATCACGATTAAGGGTTCACATAATAAATATATGATCACATCCATACACAGCCTCCAGTTGTACACAAAACACAATGTGGCAGTACACTTTGCACATTTCTACGCCACACTTGATCGATTTTTACAAATACGACACATTTATTGAGTAGTAGCAGGCACTTGGACAGAGAGTTGCAAGTTGCAAATCAAAATGGAGCAGCCACTGTAACAGAGATTACAGAACTCTCTTTAACAGAGAGTGAGAGAGGGAGCGGGATAGAGGACGTACTAGAGAAAAATCAATGAATTTTACAGGCGTGCTTTCCACACCTTCGCACACGTTGCATCATTGCTGATAAAAAAATAAGTGTGTAAATTCGATAGCCGGGCCTGTGGGGTACCTAGGTCGTATACGAGAGCACAAATTGAAAAACAACAGCCTGCCTTTGTCATCCATTTTTATACTATGACCTATAAAGGTATTACCAGTGATGATATATGTATATATGTAGGTATGTTATACCTAGGTTACAACCTAATATGTGCGGTGCACACGCCGCCTGACTGACCGCACACACGTTTCGTCGTCGGCACTGAATTTTCCACTGTCATCCTCTATTCCTCTCTTACGCTACGATGTGTCCTATACTGTATTATGTACACATTGTAGGTGTAGGTAAGTAGGTAGGTACACCTAATACTTATACATATACTTTGATGGATGCTTTTATTACGCTGCTGCCCTGACAAGCTAGTCTTGCTTCCATTCAGGATGAGAGGAAAGAGAGAAAGAGAGAGGAAAAACGTGAGACCCTGTCAAGAAGAAGTTGCATCGCGAATTAACAGTTGCTCTATGACAGGAGAGTAAAGAAAAGAGACACAACGAGAACATAAAAAAAAAAAAACTGACCTGATGTGAACCGGGAGTCCGTCAAACTGATGGTCCCACGTCCTCACGGACGGGCTTTTGTGTCCTGGCCCGATCGGAGGACGCGTATGGGAACGACGCCGCCACCGCCAAGAGAAAATATAATACTAATAATAATGCCGAACCGATGAGGGGTAATATACTCCGGGGTTTATATATAGATATTTTTGCAACGTGTCGTGTGTCAGACACAGACGGCCTCGTCGTCTGTTTACGCGTCCTTGCGCGACGACCGACGACGTTCGCTTTTTGCGCGAACACCAACTAACTGCACATCTACGTATACACTTGTAAACTCATATAGATAAATATGTACACCAACACAGGAGGATAAGCAGCACAGCTGTCTGTGTTTGTTCTCTTATTAATATATTCTTTTTCTCTCCCAATGCACGTCGAGAGTAAGTAGAGAAAATAAATTTGTAGATACCGCACTCTTTTGTTTATGCACTAGCTCCGTATTCGTGATTTCGTAAATGCAGTACCTACATGCAGTTGGAGTACATCTCGATACATTCGTGACACTACATATAAATATAACACTAACACATCAACACTGAGCAGTTACGCCAGTTACCAATAAAGTATAATATAAGAAAGAGAGTAGAGGCAAGAGCAAAATGTCACGAACACCAACTGCTGGCGATCTTCTTCGGGAGAAACAATTTTAATGCCCCGAAATCCATAGAGCCCCGGAGTTCAGGGTTATTATTACAGTTAGTGGTTAGCCCGCACTGCAAGACGAACAATGACTTCGTTAAGTATGTTTAATGTGCCCCTGATCAGTCTGATGCTGATCTGATCGTGTAGGTAGGTAGGTAGGTATGGCTTGTTTGACTTGACTGTGACCTGACTATGACTGTACTGTACCCCTCTTGCGTCGCACGCGCGCGCGCGCGCGCGAGTACTTTTTATCGCACGTCTTTCAGCTCTCTTTTTGCTAATTTGCTAAATATTGAAGATATACATGTCCGAATGATCGTTGTTGTTTTGGGCTTTCTGGACCATGTAGACGAGCACGAAAACCTCAGTTAAGGATCTCAATATCAGAACGTACAAGTACAACGTACTCTTTTCACACACACAACAAAACTAACAGAACTGCACTCTGCACTACAACTAGAGCCAGATACCAGCTTATGCACCGTCTGCAGTACTTACGTACCTATACCCACTAAAAAAAAAAGATATTTCTCCAGCGAGTACGGTCGGGCGTCGTTGGAGGCGCTGCAGTTCTATAAACGATCTGCATCTGCAGTGGTCTGTCTTCAAAAGTCAAAAGAGCTAATAAGAAAATGCATCGCGATTTTTGATTTGCTGTTCCAAGTAAAGAAAACGTATGCGCGTTTTTCCGGCAAATTTGTCTAAAAAGAATAAGTTTCATAGATTTACTTTAGCAATTTGAGAAAAATGGCGGCGTATTTTCCTGCAAACAGTGAGCTAACAACGACGGAGAGCAGAATACAGAAACAACGGAATAGTATAACACAGGAACGTTGGAATGGTATAACCCAGTAACCCTATAACACAGGAACGTTGGAATGGTATATCACAGGAACATTGGAATGGTATAACCCAATAACCCAATAAAATAGGAACGTTAGAATGGTATAACCCAGTAACCCCATAACACAGGAATGTTGGAATGGTATAACACAGAAACAACGGAATGGTATAACACAGGAACGTTGGAATGGTATAACCCCAGTAACCCAATAACTCAGGAACGTTGGAATGGTATAAAATGGGAAATGTCATCGCAGAGATTGTCTCTTCTTGCGGCATGCGGTTGTCGAATCGATAGGTATTAAACTTAATAACAATCAACAAATGTCAAGTTTCTATTTTTTATGCATAAATTACTTTAAAAATTAAAGTTGCTTGAGTTATCAAGCGCATGGAGTAAATGTAGTATTGACGACGCTGCTAAGCTGCTAATAATAAACAAAAATATGAAAACTAATCAATTGCTGTGCTGCGGTAATTATATTATTATACATTACAGTTAGTGGTTAGATGGCCCGATGGTTGTCACATATAATTATTACTACCAATTACATAATCTTAAATTGTGCATGCAAGCATAAGTTGGTAATTTTTTTTTATTCTTCAAGTCCACTTTGCGACAATTGCCACGATTGTTTTGATCAAGTTATGGAGTTTTTTCATATCTCCGTATGGTTCTTAAATATATATATATATATAGCCTTACCGGAAGTGTTTATTTTACCATTAGCGAGCAATTTAAAGCTATACTTTCTAATCAACTTTCTCGTTACTTTATAAAACTTAACTCGTCATTTTATAAAACTCCAATTCTCGTAGTCATTTTTCTGTTTGAGTGCTGCTAGCTCGTTTCTTCAAAATAAGGGATCACGCCATCGTGGATAACTAAATAAATATAAAAATCAATTATTGTGGGTAATAAAAAAATGTTTTCAGTTCTACTTTTTTTTTTTACACGTACATTTATTGTTCTAGCGTTGATAAATATAATTCAAAACATGTACATACATACATAATTTATAAGAATAAAATTTTACGCAAATAATATTTTCTTTTGTACAATCAACGGAGGGTTTTTTCGTATTGGGTGAATTATACAACAAATTGAAACAACTTTAGAAGCACGAGCTGTTTCTCATCAATGTTCTTTTTACAATCAGTTTAACAAGGAAGCAATTATTTTTCACGTGAAAATTAAGTAATTAAAATATGAAGAAACGAATGCAATTAACTTACAATCGTTTTCTTTTTTTGATGCATCAAATGTTAACACATTCAAAATATAAACACAAGTATATTAAAAAAATAAAAATAATCCATATGAAATTAATGGAATGACTGTAAAAACAGTGTCTAATATGGAATATCATTTACATTTTTTTAGCTAACAGAGATAGTCTACAAAATTTTCATATTTTAAGAATTGACTCGGTATATAATGCTTAAAAAAATAATTCTTTGGGTGGCAAAATGCTTAAGTCTGATTTTATCTAGTTCATTATTTGATGAAGATTATAATAAACATTTACAATGTTTCATTTCTATTAATGTAATTATTCAAATAAACATAAATTAATTTGTGACCCCTGCATTACCACAACATAGCTAGCTTTCAAATATACTTTAAAATATGTATACTTTTGTCATTCTCATGTTTCACTTTTTCACAGCTTATGGTTTATTGCCAAGAAATGAGCCGTTAACATAGTAACTCAACAAATTTAAAATACTTTAATAAATAAAATAATAAGTACAAGATATACTATATCTATTAAAAAATAAAATAAATAAGTGGCTCAAAACATAGCATCTAACAATCTATATGTGCATTTAGTATTCAATCGTGCTTATATTAATCAACTCTGTACATTCACATTTTATTTTTTTATACAGGAGATCTATTTTTAGGACTTGATCAACAAGTAACATTATTCACAAAGAAGAGAAAAGTTTAATTATTCTCAGATAAAACAAGTCAAGAGCATAAAGGTTAACTCTTGGAAGTCGAATAAATTCGCTTTAATTGTTCTTAGCCAGATTGACCAAGTCAGACTTAGTAACAATACAATATAATATAATGCTAATCTAGTAATATACTTTTTTTTATTCAAAACTATACGGCCATAGAATGCACTTGAAAAGATTGTGTTAAGGTTGCCGATTATAATTATTTTTCTTCCTCATCATCAAGCCAGGTTATTGCCTAATTTATGCTATGCAGTATAGGCTCACTAATACAACTAGACAAAATTGAGTTTTGCTAAACGAATATTAAATGAAATTCTATAAATAGTAAATACAGTTTACTCCATGCCACCTTCTTCCTCGAGTTTTGTCAAGAATTTAACAACCCGATAATTCGGTTCGACTTGTCGTGTCATATCTATCAAGCCCAGCAGATCCTTGATCGCAATGAAGATGCTGAAATTAAAACAAATTTTTTTTTTTTTTTTTTTATGAAAACATTAGTTAAAATGTATAATTTATAAACAATTGGCAAATTTTCACGAATCACTATTTTTTAATGAACGACTAAACAGTACTAGGAGAGGAAAGGTTTAAATACAGAACTTAAGTATTAAGGTATGGTACCATCATAAAGGTCACATAGGTATGAGACAATCATCATATATATATATTATATACAAAACAAAAGAAGCAGTAAGGCTGTAAGGGTTTAACGCTCGAACAAACCAAGAGCTTCCCCACTATCTACGCTGCTACATACTATATAGTTCAAGTAAAGTTTAATTAATGATTACTTGTTTGTACATTGCGTTGGTGCTTTAGCTTTTCGATTAGGGAAAACCCAGTGCCTGGTCCTACGTTTTGTAGATTGTAAAAAAAATTTACTTTTTTTTTTTTTTTTATGATTTACATGTAGTATTAGGATTTTGATAAATGACCTCAATGATGTGATGGGCAACTAAGAGTGTTATAACTGTTACGCGGAAGAACGTGTATGTACAGTGTAGTGTATGTAAAATATGGTTGCTTAAACAAAGTTTGATAAAAAGTTTACCGTCTCCCATGAAGTTTCCCTTGAAGTGTTGACAACTCTTGTTTGGTAAAGAGTTCAACTTCTTCCAATACTGTTAGGAGCTGCTCTGGAGTAGATAGTTTGGGAACATGTAGAATGGGCTTGAAAGACGAAATGAGCTCCAAATCTTCTAATACTTGCCTGAAAATAAATATTAATGACAATATATGATAAAACAAAATTTAAAAGTATGTTTCTAAAAATCATTACTAAAATTCACCTGCGGCTAGTAGTGCAAATGATTAACAACTTTCTTCCACGGGGTGGCACGTTTTTCAAAAGAACTAACAGTGCTTGCAAGGTCAAATTCGAATACCTAGGCCCAATCGCTCCATAATCTATCAAGCGTTCGATATTATCAACTACAATACAACTAAGCTGAGAGCGATATGCGTCGTCGAATATCTAAAAGAAAAAAGTTTGATTATTGCGATCGATGAAATATATGATTTACCATCGATGCAATTATTGGATGCCTTACTTTGCGAATTGACAAACACTTTGCGGACTCCGTAAAGCCAACCATATCTTCTGGGGCACAGATTTTGACAAATGGAAAGTCAGAATTCTTTGCAATTTGGGCAGCAAGAGCAGTTTTGCCAGCATTAGGTGGGCCTTCGAGCAGAATGCATACCCGTCCTGAGCCTTCGGCAGCTCGAGCTTCCTGAATGCAAAGATTTCCATCGGCAAGAATCTCGGTAACTGGCTTTCCCCAATTGATGATGCCTCGGGCCAACAGATGCTCGAGAACCTCGGCACTTGCTCCAAAAGCCTGTGATACAAAAAAATTTTAATAATTCAAAGAAAGAGAAAAATATAATTTTCAGCAGTATAACTTTAACTCACTGGTTTAATGTCATTTTCCAAGGCATGGAGAAAATCACTTCTTCCAACCATCAGTTTTTCCATGGCTGCAGGATCTACTTCGACTTTACTAGAGGCCTTAATTAACCTGTTCATAGCTGTACTTTGGGCAGCTCTGACTAAACCTTCCAACTCAGCACCACTGAAATTTTTTGTTAACACGGCAAGTTCTTTCAAATCCACATCATGATCGATCTTTTTGTAGTCCCTCATTCTTGATGTGTGAATATTCAAAATTTGGAATCTGCCATGCTCATCTGGCAGACTGATTTCTATTTGGACCTTTATTACAAAATAAAAGTGAATTTAGTTTCAATAATTATTTTAGTGAAAAATTTTAAGTTTGGAATTTACCTCTAATCTACCAGGTCGCAAAAGAGCATCATCGATCATGTCCCGTCTATTTGTCATACCAATTACCAAAATATTATTTAATTGTTCAACACCATCAATTTTAGCGAGTAGCTGATTGACTACAGTATCATGAACACCTGTAGCACCAGCTACACTTCCTCTTTGCTTACAGATAGCGTCAATCTCATCAAATATAATAATATGAAGTCCACTGTTGGGCCCACACTGTTGAAAAGAAAAAATGATGTTAATAAATATTTAAGACTAACTAAAATTTTGTATGTTGAAGATGTCATACTCGTTTCTCTTCCTCTTCAGCTTCGGCAAACAATCGTCTGATATTTGCTTCACTCTCACCAACATATTTATCTAATATCTGAGGACCATTTACAATCTTTGGTTCCCTTGCGTTCAGCATTTTTCCAATTTGTCTGGCCATGAGAGTTTTACCAGTACCCGGTGGACCATACAGTAAGATACCTTTTACGTGCTTTAGACCTAGTTGTGTAACAACTTCAGGTGGAAAGACACGTGACGCAAATGCTCTTCTGAAAATAGCATTGAATTCTTTGTCCAAGCCACCAATGCCCATTTTGTTGAAGTCAAAGTCAGGATTAATGATTGATTGGCGCGTGACTTTTCCCTGTTTTGTTCCTGTCAAGTTTAAGCTCGAGTTGGGCGCTTTTTCAAACTGGATTGCAGTATCGCCAAGGCAGCAGCCCATCCTGGTTTTATTGGGCTTGGATTCTTGTCCAGATTTTATAGCAGCAATATCAGCAGCTTCCAAATTCTTTACCACCAAGCCAAGCATTCTTTTGTCCTTAAATTGAAATGCCAGTTGCTGGCCAACTGTAAAAGCTTGACCAGCAAACTGCATAAGAAAATCCTTAGCCATTTCTTCGGTGTCATATGGATCTAAACTTGTTCTGTGGACAAAATTTTTTTTATTCAACATACAGAAGTAAGAGATAAAAAAAAATCCATGTTTATCTATATGTAAAAGTTTATATACTCACGTCTTTTTTTGTAAGAAATCGGCTTCTACAGAGATGCTGGAAAGGAACACTGATGTCGATGAAGAGTCGAAATAATAGGGGTTCACCTCCAGTTCTTGGCCAACAGACAGTGTAGCCCATTTCCTTTGAGGCATGCTGAAGCCTATGCAACCTTTGTGTATTTGGGGACATGTTCTGATCGAGAAAATAAAACGCTGGTTGGGCTGAGTTGACACCTCAATGTGCCTAAAGTTGAAAGATACAAATGAAACATTTCATTATTTACCTTAAAGTTTTTTTTTTTTTTTTNTACCTAATTCAAAATAAATTTAAAAAAAATCTTCATGACAAATTAAGTAAAAAAAAAAAAAATTTATTTTAATGAGTGACGTTGACAGTTGTAGATAATAAAGTATAAAACTTCACCACTTTTTCTCTGACAGAGAGATCCAACTGTCAAGGGAAACCCTAGTGGTTTAGAGTATAATATATTATCAGAGGAATTTGCCTTTATCCTACCTAAGGGATCAATAAATTACCAATGTCAAGAGGCAATACTGTAGAAATATACCAAACAACCCCCTCGACTGTCTGGTTCCCTCTGACACGCAATCCAACGCGCTTACACACGATACCTATCTCTCGTAAAATACCCCCATTCAGACCGATAAGTATACAACATAAGGGTATATGTATTGTATACACTTGGGTTTGGAAAAAAAATCAAAAGGTGATGTACAAACCTGACGTCGTCGGTGAAATCACTGGGGTGGACAATCGCACAGTTGGTAAGGCTGAGCTCGTCCGTAGGACACCTGTCCGCCCTCATCCGCTGGAAAAGAAAAAAAAAAAAAACCACGGCTGAGCTTTCAATCAAGTGTAATGCATATATTATACGTGTAGGTATTCTGGACAATCGATTTCCTTGACCCTGCGGCGAGGCCGCTCGAGCAATAAAATCAGCATCACATAAAAGTAGAGCACCAGGGCAGAACATGCTCAATAGATACCCACACGGGGAGGATTATTGACGCGGCACCGAGCTCCCTCCCGTACGAGTATATATTATTTGACGTACCTACGTGCGCCCCAGATCATACCCTCTCGGTCACTTAAGGGTATATATATTTAAAAAATTTCACGACAGGTGCAATAAAATAGAGATGACGAAATCATACACAAGAGATAACTACTCACCATGATTCACGAGTTTTCGTGACAGCTGTGCTCAGCTATACGGAATGTCAAAAATCGACTGAGCCACTGAAACACACAAAAGCAGGTACTCCTCAGAATGTTGGGTGTAGATGATACGAGAGCTCTCCCAAAACTTCGATGTGTAAGAGGAAAGAAAAACACTGGTGTACCTGCAATGCAGGACGGCGCAAAGTGCCCGTTATTTCGTTCCTCGCCAAGTATACTCTCCCTCGCGCTCGCGAGCCGCCAAGCGAGGTAACGAAAATCAGACTGGCGAATGTGGCGAATATATATAGGGGCGAGAACGAGAAAGATTTGTTGACTCACCCCCGCGCACACCTCGTATATACACCTTACACCCTTTGCTCCGGAACTCCGAAATTCATCTTGCTTTGCAGGAATTGTAGGTTTGTAGGTTGTTAATGCGCAAGCGTCGGGCCTTATTTTTTTTTTTTTGTTTTTTTTTTGTTCTATTCTCGAGACAAAGTGAATTTCACATTAATAAGTTGTCAACAGTGTCAACACACGGGGGCATGGCGGGGAGCGCCGTGCGGGGCGAAGTGAGCTTATAGTGACACACACAGCCAATCTTCTCGGATTTCTCTCCTGCAGGTGATGCTCCTGATAGTCGAATGCGTTTTTTTGGAAGCTGAAGATTATCGCGTGATGCGTGAAGACATTACTAAAAAGTATTGAGCGTTTTGAGTTATTGTGAAGGAAAAGGATCGATCGTAGTGAGTAACACGGAAAGGTTAGAAGTTGAAGTTTTTGTGGCTGGCGGGGGGGTTAAGGGGCGCGCCGGCCATATACATATATATCCACTGCAGTGAGCACCACGTCGGCGTGTGCCTTCGCAGATGCATCCAGGCTGTCGTGTCGTACGGACGTGTATATACTTAAGGTATGAATGTCGTAACTTGAGTATCTAGTGCCTTTTGTTACTTTAAATTCCCTAGAAACACTTGCCAATGTATAGACATCCTTATTTACAAATATACACAATACATTTAAAAATATACAAGTAGCCAACGAGAAAGCTCCAAATTATTGTTGACAAGTTGAAATTATAAACTTTCCTGCAATATTGTGATTTAATGCAATGCTACTTTAATATATTCGAACTTCGATGTTAATATAAAGTGGTACAATGGTTTGGAATTTTTTATTTCAGAAACTATTCTTATGTGGAAGAAATTTGACAAAAATAGCGTATCATGGAAAGAGGAAAAACTGGAGGTGGCAGAGGCTCCAAGAATAAAATTGCTCCACACCCGTCTGATTTTATAGCACTTGGATCGAAAGGCTCTAGAACAGAGGTTTTGGATCCTAAAAGACCCGGAGTTCTGACTAAACCTGGATCTAGCTCTTCAGTCATCAGTAAGATTTTATTTTTCTATCATCTTTTTCTTATATTATTAAACATAAAAATATGCATTTTACGAATTGTATGAATTTTTCAGACAATGACAGGAAAAAAGAAGGACCTCCCATACAATCTCTGATTCCTGCAAAAAAGCCCAAACTATCAGCACACACCACAGCTCCACCAAGACCCACTGTAAGCTATACTGAAGTTTGGGAAGGAGTTTCGATAGACTGTGATCCAGCTGATCTTGTACCCCTGGTTTTGGAAGCGAACGAGAGTGACGATGGTGAAAAATTGATAGGTTTAGTGTGTGGTGCTATAAGAAACTTGAAAAGTTCGAGATGGAAACCAGACAGTGTTGTGACATTTGGACTTTTATATTTGGTAAAAATAAGACCTTCCATATTTTCCCATCATTGTATATTACATGCCTTGGCATCTCTTTTAAAAAGGGATCAGACACATAGTTTTAAAAATAAAGGCAATCCCATGGTACCTGTACTAGTAGCTAATTTATTGATGAAAGGATTTTCCGACAAAAAAGAGTGGCCTGATGTTTTTATTAAGGTATTTGACTTGATTTATCTTTGTTTAAATTTTATTCATTTAATAAAGTACTTACCAATGTTTGCAGATTTATATTGAAGATGCTTTGGGTGAAAGAATGTGGGTCGATAATGAAGAATGTAAAGGATTTGTAGATAACATTTTAACAGGGTTCAACACCAGAATACCTCCAAAAAGTGTATTACAGCCAGAGCTATTAATGATGACTCCCAGAGAGTGTTCTAGTCCTTCCACATTGTTGGAAGATGATGACTCTGCAACTTCTCTTATTCAATTGACTGGTGATAAAGATAAAATAGATCTACCTGTCTGTCATCGTTATGCTCACTGCATGGATGCTGTAGAAAATATCGTTGTGGAAACAGTAAAAGAACAATTAAATAGAAGACAACCAGACACGATAACAAGAAATTTCTTGAAATTGTTGTCTTCAGCCTGCGGCTTTGTAGAAATAAGAAATATCGCCGTGCCGCGACTGGAAGTATGGCTGCACAATCCAAAGCTAATGAGAACGGCTCAGGAGCTTCTCAGTTATATTTGTTACAATTGTACGTCTCACACTCAGCGCGATGTAGAGGTCATCAGCCAACTCGTGAAAATGAGATTGAAAACAAAAGCTGTTGTAAATTTGTATTTAAATGGCGTTAAGGAAATAATCGGTCTTCATCCAGGAAATTTGTCGACTATATTGAAACACACGGTATATAATGAATTATCGAACGCAAGGAACCCCAACAACATGCCCATGTTAGCAGTTATGTTTCAAACTGCTCCAGAGCCATCAGCACAACTTTTGGGTGAAATATTTCTAGATCTTTTGTTGAGTCGCGATGAATACTTGAGGCCTCTGCGTGCACTTTTACGAGAAATCGTTCGAATTTGTCGACACGACATCAACTTGTTGAGTCTAACTAATACCATGATGAAAGCACGAATGGAAGTCCTTCAGCAATTGAATTCGAATCATGAATCCAAAGATAGAGTGTTCACGTCCATAATTGATCTACTGTGTCTGTGCATGTTTCTGGCCATTACTCCGCAAGTCAAAGAAGCTGCAATGTTGTGCCAGCGTGGAGACAAAAAAGATGTTGGTCTGCTGCACCAGTTTCAAAATTTGGTGGCTGTTATACAAGATCAGACCATAACATGGTTGCAGAATACGGCACCTCAGATTTACAACATCAACAAAGAAGCTTTGATACACGCCGTGCAAAAGATCATGCTGCTCGAGCCACTGGAACAGTATTACAGACCGGACAACTTTCCGCCGGAACCGGAAAGACCGTTTTATATGAGAATGGTTTCTGAAGTGCCTTTACTTGAAAACACATTATCGAATATTTTGACAATGAAGGTAGGCTTGCACAGATAATCAATGTTTAAAAAAGTGAATTTCAACAAAATTTTTTCATCTGCCCATTTGTCTCGATCAGGAGGATGGACTAACAAATGCCCAAAAGCTGGATCTTGTGGAAAGTTTAATCAGGAGAGCAGCTCAGAGTTCGTCCGAAACGTTTCCGCTGTTGTGCATCAACAACATAATGATCATCGATCAAATATTTAGCTTATGCGCGTACCAAGCTCCTATCTCTATAAGTCTTCCCGCAGGCTATGTGCCACCCGCATTGGCAATTACCAACCTGTATTGGAAGAGCTGGGTCATACTATTGATAATGGCTACTCAGAATCCTTTGACAGTTGGCAGTCTGGCGTGGGAGCGCTATCCAACATTAAGAGTGCTGATGGAAATGTGTATTACCAAGCAAGTATCTCTTTTAAAATTTTTATCACTTTATGTACTCCAAGGAAAGCATACTTTTTTTACTATGGATGCTATTATGTTATTTGTAGTCAATTTACGTACCCTCCGCCGACGATGGCTTTGCCAGAAATAATCGAGGAAGAGCGAGCCAAAGAGTTTCGTTATGATAGTATGGAAAAACAACAAATATTGCAGTACGAAGTTCATCTAGCTGCGGCGTCTACGCGTACCCAAATATCAGAGCAGACTTCGTTGCTGTTGTCATCGGTGGTAATGATGGAGCCGACGCTCATTGCCCGACGACCTCCGCAAAACATCCTCGAGATAATACAGGCACTAAATACTACGCACCGTTTGGGCCACCTGTTGTGCCGCTCGCGGAAACCCGATTTTCTCCTCGATATCATTCAGCGCCAACAGGCCAGCTCCTCCCAGAATATGCCCTGGCTCGCCGACCTTGTGCAGAGTTGCGAGGGATCCCTTAGTCAGCTTCCGGTCCAGTGTTTGTGCGAATACCTACTATCATCAAGCGGCCAGGCAGACAAGCAGCCGAGACAACGGCAGCTACTCGCTCATTTGCAATTGCTGCTCACTGATCCCCTTCAGGAAAGTCTGCACTCTTATGAGATTCTCGAGTATTTTTTGAGAAGACTGAGCAGCCAGATAACTTCTAGCAGAGGTCAGGCCATCACTGGCCTCAAACTGATTTTAAGTACGATTCGAGTGGATGAGCACATGGATGTTGATGGCTATAATAACAAGTAAGAGGAAAAGCAAAAATATACACATGCCCTTATATTTTCATTGGATCAATATGAAGGTTCATCATTTTTTTTAGCGAGTCTTGGCTACTGCATAAGCTTTCGTCGATACCCCACTTTCAGGACGTACGTCTTTTAGTATCGAAAGCTCTGAGAAGCGCCTGCCAGGTGGAGAACAATCCCGACCTGGTACAGGCATACATAGCGTACTTGGCTGAGCACACGCTCAATGACGATCTGTCTGATTTAATAAATTTAGTGAATGAGCTTTCGCAATTGGTTGTCGAGAGAAATACCATTATCGCGGCTATATTGCCACAACCGGATTCTGATAGCGTACAGGGCAGACAAACTTTGCACGATTTTCTTTCAATTTACACGAATTATTTGAACAAGGTAATAATACCAAGTTTCATTGATACTTGTATGTTGTTTATATAATTTCGCAGCTCGTTTCATTTGCAACATTGTTAATTCCAGGCAAGAGCACCCCGACAAGATGGCTCACGAGTGACGTGGCTCGAGAATCAAGATTTAATATTGGTTCACTGGTCTACAGGTGAGGAGTGCACCATGCACATTCTAGTCGTGCACGCTATGGTCATTCTCTTGACGTACGACCAAGTCGATAACGATGAGCTGTTTGACCAGCTACTGGAGATCTGGTTTCCAGAGGACCATGAGCCGCCTAAGGCTTACCTCGTTGACACGGGAGAGGAAGCGCTTCTGATACCAGACTGGTTGAAGTTGCGCATGATTCGTAGCAACATACCGCGCCTAGTCGACGCAGCATTGCGCGACTTGGAAGCCTATCAGTTAGTTCTGTTTATACAGAGCTTCGGAGTACCCGTTAATACTATGACAAAGTTGTTACACTTGCTCGATGCTGCCGTTCAAATCGATCCCGTATCTGTGACGAACAACGTTCTTAACAAGACTTACATGGCACAGGTAACATGATTCATACGAAAGCGGTTTTTTTTTTTTCATTGACGTAGGGAAAAACGACATTCTTATTAGTTTTATTTTGCAGCTCGTGAGAATCTTGCATAACCGCGGTGCAACTGGAGGTGTAATTTTCTTGGAGCACGTGCAACATGAGGCTCAAGAAGAGCCCGACGAGAGCATTCCATCGGTCAACACGCGTCTGGAGTTGCTACCGCGAAGCGTTCTGCTGCAAAAACAAAGTGTCACTCAACAGAGCACAGTTAAAACTGACGTACCAAATCTTATCAATCAGTTGTTCATCGAAAATATACAACAACAAACGATACAACAGAAAACAGAGATTTACCGTAGATTACACAAAATACTCGCTAAAGATCTGTACGAGTCAAGGATGGAGACAGATCGAGGAGCAATCGCCGTGGCTATCAAACACATTATGGATGTACTGAGTTCCATTCAGGTCAAAGATTTCCTGACATCGCTCGTCCGCATGTCACAATTTTCGTGTACACTTATGCGAGTGATCCTTTTGCCCCTGAAAAAGCCGTCTAGCTGCCCTAAGACGATCGAGCTTGCAAACGTGGCTAAAGGGATGTGTTTGAATTTGATGACCTTGATCGGCGACATCGATGCCCCGATTCTCTTGATTCTGCGCGATTTTACAAAATCGCATGAATCTAAAACCCCTCGACACAAAGAGCTCGCCACTCTGGCAAAGTCGCGCGAACCTGGCGCGATACTTGAGAACGCAGAACCGGATAAGCTCGAAAATGTAGGCAGCCGATTGCTTGATCTGTGCATGCAGCAACAGCGAAACGATGCTCTTGTAGAGGCGATGGCAAAATTACTGGTCACCGACAGTGAGCAGGGCATTAAACCTCGCACCGGCTTACTAATCGATTGGCTAGCGTCGGTCGAGCCCGAGCTTATCGGCACCTGTCCTGATCTACAAACTAGGCTGTTATTCGGAAAAATGAATGTGTACATAAGAATTGACGAAAGCATAGTTAGATCACACTCCTGCAGGCCGTATCTGTTGACTTTATTGGCGCATGGAGCCAGTTGGGCAACTCTGCACAAGTGCGTAGGACAACTACTGTGTCAGTGCCACCAAACGTAAGTTTTATGGTGAAACCAAATGTTAGCTTATTGTAACATAAAACGTTATCTACTTTATTTTTACTTTAGCTACGATCCAACCGCCGTTTTGGACTTTTTGTGGGCACTGACTTGCAATCCAAAATTATGGCAAGGTCGTGAGAAATATTCTACGAAAAATGACATGCCAGAAAATATTTTGTTACTAACAAGTAATCAGCTGTTGGTTCTCGTAATGTACTTGATCGAAGAGGCGGTAATACTGTATGAACGAGAAAATCAAAAAACGGCAGTGACTCAAATGGAGGCCAGATTAGACTTGATGACTTGTTGCTGCTCTTCTGAGGATGAAATGATGGTGTCTGTAGTTAAACATTTGGCCGACCAAATGACGAACCGTACCGAGTTAGTAATTTTATTGTATTCACACACATTTTTAAACACCAAAATGAACGAAACTGAACGTCATAACGAATTAATTTCAGCGTGTATTCGGATATGGCTCATCAGTTACTACTGCAGCTTTACATGAAAGTGCCAAAGATTATAAGCTATCTGAATATAAATCAGTCAAAGAAGATGATGATGAGTGGAGCAAACATATCCGAATGGACTAATTCAACTTTAGACCGTATGACTCACACTTTATTGACGGCTCTGACAACGTTACCACAGCAAAAGTCGATGGGCTCAAAAGTGCGAGAGCTTGATCAATGTACCCGTAAAATGGCTGCAGTACATCCGCTTCTAATGCTGAGGCAGTTGCCCCTATTGGCATCGACTCTCACGGGTCTCTGTGACCTCGACTCGAGGGAGTTCCGCTCGAAACACCACGTTCACCTTTTTGTGCAAGTCATGGGTTTACTTGAACTCTTGCAACCACACATTTTCAACCAAGAACATTCAAAAGGACTCCAGGACACACTCGACACTTACTTACTATGTTTTAAAGTAAATAAAAGCCATTTGCTTAATTTAATCTCGGATATTTATGTTTCGTAATTATAAAATTCGTTAATTTTCAGAATTATCATAGAGCGGAAGATTTCGTATCTCTTTTAAGAAGATTCGCAGAGTTTCTTAAAGAGTACGTGAAACATAATGAAAAATCTGCTCTTCAATATTTACAAAGACACGCACAAGTACTTCAGTAAGTTTAATGGTTTAAATTTTTTTTTTTTTTTTTCTTCAAGTATTTCTCAAAAAATAATCTATTCCGTAGCGAGCTGCAAGCTTACTACCTTGGGATTACATCCTTGAAAAGTCTTGTAGCTGGAATTCCTCTGCCAAGAGAAGGCGAAAACGAAGATTTAGTTTTAGTCTCGGCGACTTTTCGTAAAAAAGAAAAAACGCCTCCAAGAGAATTTCCGCACTTACCGGCTTTACTGGCTACACTCACGAAAAATCAAGGCGATGGTATTAAAAATTCGTGGCAATTTTTTTCTTACGTTTGACACTGTTAAATAAAACATTGTTTATTTTCTAGATGTGTATAATGCTTTGCAAGAAATAGAAAGTTTATCCTTGCGGGATCCAAATTTATTGGAACCTATTATCGATAATATAACGGACTTGTTTACATCCCCTCAAGGAAACGTAAGGACATTAGCTCACGCACTGGTTACAAAGGCACTTAAACATCGGCCTTGCCCGAATCTCAGTGTACTTGCAGCATTCCAAAGATGCCTTGATAATTCTAGATCGGATATTCTTATGTCAGCCTTGGAGAAACTTCCAGACTACGTCATGTGCATGCAAGGTATTTCGAATTAAAAATTAAATTTTGGGAAAAAAATTTCATGATTGAACTAAATTTTTTATAAAACTTTTTGCAGAATATGCACTGCCTCTTATGCAAAGGGTCTTCGAACTTGGAGTAGGTGCCAATGTAAACATCATTAGTTATACGACTAAAACTATAGCGCTTTTAAATACGCAGAAAGGTTGTTAGACGTTGAAATTTTAAATATCATTCGAGAGGAATTTTTGAGAAAATAAATATTTGATTACAAAATTTTTGATGTTTAATTTTATTGTAAGTAAAAAAAATTGGAAAACTTACATGTAATTATGTACAATTACTAGACTAATCGCAAAAAAATTATCATTTAAAAGCTTCGGTAGAAATTTTATTATTAACATAGTTGGACATAAAAGTCTTAATTGCCTGACGAATATCCCAATTGGCTTCACACAAAAGTTTACTCGCATGCTCGACGTTCATACATGTTAAATCTTGTACCAATTGTAATAGTTGTTTTTTTTCAGCGGCGCTAAACATCGTGGGATGAAATACAGGTACTGGTTTATCAGTTATAAATTTTAACTCTGCCAAATCTGGATAGTTTAAATTTTCTGGACAATTGTCTATATGATATTGATCATTGATAATGCAAAATTCATTGTCTTCTTTAGCTACGACAATTAATGTTCTTTCAAACCACATAGGTGTTGCACTGTGTTTCCTGTAGAGGAATGGACCTTGTACCGATATGGCAAAAGAGTTATTTGTACTAAAGAGTAAATCAATATCTATGTATTTTAGTTTGTGAAGGGTGGGAGGTTCACGTCTTAAAGCGGATATAATATTCTCTGGTCCATATAACAAAAATTCATTGCATTTTGCGTAGTCCACGAATTTTAGTAAATTTCTGTTCATTGCAAAAGATTTGATGATATTTTTGTGTGAATTGTCCATGATCTGGCCGACCGTCATTGAAAATATTGCTCCAGTATCATAGAGCCCATTCAAAATTATTCTGTCATCTTGATCGTAGCAAGTAAAAAAGTGTTCCAAGAATTGTTTGATCAAATTCAGTTTAAACTTGTCAGCGATAAAGTGCCTATGATATACTGGTATCATTTTATCTTCATTTCCAATCACATGTCCATCTAAGATTTGCAAGTGTGGAAAGATGGTCTTTGCTGCATTCACATAATCCTTGGCTGTTTCATAACTTGTGCAAAAAGGGTTCCCATCGAGCCACAGTTCTGTTATTTTATATTCACTGAATGGCTTTAATAAATTTATATCGTTCAACTTATTGTCACGGACATCCAACTTGGTGAAATGAAAGTTGAAAACTTTCTCGCTGAAACATAAATTTTCCATATTGTTGGCTCGCAAAATAAAATCTCTTACATTGAGCTTAGTATCTCTCATGGAAGAAGGTGCCAAAGCAGCCTTCGAAAAACGTAAGATACTATCAAATATCGCTGGTATATGAATCGGGCAGTACACAGAGCTCAACATCTTGTCATTGATAAAATTCGTAAGATTCAATATCTTTCTTAAATTCATTTCTTTATTGTAGCGTATTCTAATAGCACTAGAAATGATTTGTTGAGCATTCATTGGCATATCTTTGTACGAAAGAAAAGACAGTACAATGTCGTACTGAATAGTTTTTCCACTTTTTAGTCTTACTTGCATTTTGTTATTTACAAGCTTTTGAATGGTGTTAGACTTACACATGGTCAAAAAGGTAGCTTTGTCTTTGGCTTCCATTTGGTACATGACAGGAAAAAAAATTAATGGCACACAAGCTTCAATCAAAGCATCAAGTACCATGTTTTTGTCTGCCTTATCAATATTAAATAAAATAAATTTGTGCCACACGTCTATCTGATTTGCTGCTTTCATTTCACTTTTTGAAAATATTGGATCTTGGTGCGTCAACCTTACAGGGACTAAAAATTTGCTGACCGCAGTTGTATCGGCTGCCATGGCTTTTTTTTATTTTTTTTTTTTTGTACTGCATTTCATAAGTAAGTCAATAAAAAATATAAGTAAACATCATGGAAAATGATCAAAAACAACTTACCAATAATAGGTTAGATTTACGTAATGTGTTAAATCATACAGATAAACATTTAACTATCCCTTTTTCTCTAATATTGCTATGGTAAAAAGCGAAATTTTACAAATTGCACTTTTAATAATACGATCACTAAAAATACAACAAAAATCGCAGAGGACGAGGCCCACTGGCAGTCACACGATTGTGTCAAGTTGTACACACAACAAAAATATAGAGCACACTCAGCAGTCAGCACACAAAGCACATCCCCTCCCGAATCTCCCCCCTCCCCATAATAAGTCCATAGAATACGCGCGAAAATATCCATTTCAAATGTTTTACAAAAATTTATTCAAGATCGTGACAAGAAAGTATATTACAATATTTTTTGCTTTATCGAATTAAAGTAAAAATTACACTTACGATTATTTTTACAAAAAAACCATCTTCGTTCTTAGCAAAACTTTTACTTGTAACAGTCTTTGGGTATCAGTCCATTTTTATGGTGGTTCAAAAAATTCGTGATTGCTTTTTTCAAGCTCCAATTTGCCTCTTTTAAATATTTTTCACACGTTTCAACTCCCATTGTAGTTTTTTCTTGCAAACTGAGAATCAAATTTTCTTTTTCACTGGGACTAAAACAGTTTGGTTCGTACTCGGGAATGACTTCTTTCTCTAAATTATATTTAAAGTGATCAGCCATTTGTATCGGTGGATTTACGTGGTATTGATCGTTTATTATTTTGTATTCATTTTCTTCTTTCGCTACTAAAACAAATGTTCTATTGAAAGAAAATAGTTGATTCAGAGCAAGCATTGATTTAAATAATCCTTCCACGGATATAATGATCATTTGATCACTGTCATACATCAGATCGCAACAAAGTGACCTGTGAATGTGCTGAGAAGGTGGTAAATTTTTAAAAACTTTGAGAATCTGATCTTGCCCGTGATACAAAAGCTGTTGGCTGTTTTTGCCGAAAATCAACAAGTTTCTATTTTCCGGTCCAAATGGTTCAAGAGCTCTTTTTGTAGTTGGAGAGGTAGGGGTTCCAACTGTTGTAGAATACCATGCATTAGTATCATACAAGCCTTTAAGAACATTTCTGTCACTAAAATCATAAGCTCTGAAAAAATGGTAGACAAACTGTTCAATGAGGTATTTTCTTTGATAGTTTTTTACGTAACTTTTAAAAATCAATGGCATTCCTGGTGCACTGATTTGTACTCCATCTAATTTTGTCATATGAGGGAAGTATTGCCTTATAGCCTCGACATATTGATTTGCCCTTGAATAATTATCACACATAGGATTGCCATCCAACCAAATTTCCGAAATGTTGATAGCTTTTAAAGGCTCTAAGGCCTCAACTCTTAAAAAATAATTGTCTCTTAAATCCATGCATTTAAGAGACTTTATATTTGCTGTGTCTACCAACATAAGTGAAGTAAGTTCGTTACTCTGTAAATTGATGTAGTCAATAGAGCCAAACGCAGTTTTGGCTAATTTTAGAACATGAGTCAAAGTTTTGGTCTGAGCCAGAGGGCAGTAGACTGTATTGTAAACATCGGGATCTCTGTGAAAATCAGTCAAATCTAGCTTTTTAGATTCACTGTCATACCTTTTTTTCAGTGCTGTCAACAAAAGTGGTTGGATGTTGATTTTTAGATCGTGAATGGAAGCAAATCCAAGAGTTATTGAAAGAATCACAGGATTTCCATCAGGACAGTTAACAATCAAGCTAGTTTTGCAAAGTGAATCTAGAGCTCTGTCACAATTCCGAGCAATAAAGCAAGAATCTTCTCCAATAATCTGATATTTTACAGGGATCAGGTCTGCTGGATTAACAGCTTTCAAAATACTCTTCAATATAACTTCTTTGTCATAAAGGCCTCCGCGAAGGATCAGTATTCTGTGCCAAATATCATTGCGTGCCATCAAAGATCTTTCGTGATACATCGATGTGCCCATTGCCAGACTCATGGCAGCATTTGAGTCTAAAATAACTGGTATTGGTGGCGATCCACCAATTTGCGAATGTGGCATAATAATGTTTTGTTGTAATGGCACATGTGGATTTTGTTGTTGGATCTGACCACTGTGAGGTTTTAACAAGTTCACCAAAGTGTCTCGATACATCATGGCGAAATAGACGTGTTACAAAAAAAGAAAAAAAAAAAAAAAAAAATTAAACTGATCCACCAATTTTTTTTCACCTTAATTTTACCCTCGTAACACCTAAAACATTACAATAAATATATCAATTACTTCAAGGTTAGATGGCTAAAAGATGTTTACCTTTACCTTAACCATAATCGTATTATTAAGGTGCAATACTTGCTAGCACCAACTTTTGTGTTTCATTTCGATGACTTGCACAATGTTTATTTTGTCACTTGTTTTTGCATCTCTATATTCTATAAAATGCTAAAAAATGAGTACGAAGTACGAAACATACGAAAAAAAAAAAAAAAAGATAAATACTTAGTTAAGATATGTCACAACTCACAACGCTATACGCGTGTGTGGAGAGAGATTGAAGAGATCTGCTGTACCTATATAACGGCTAACTGCTTGCAGTTCTCAAGTTCTGCTTCTGCTTGTCAGTTTTTTGACGTCCCATCGTTCCATGACATCAAAAGAATCACTAAAATGAAAATAATGTCAAATACAGTCTGTACTGTACTGTACTGATTCTTTCATTCTTTGATACTTATTACAGAACAGATAAAAAAAAAATATTGCGGATTGTGCTGTGAAAGCCAGGAGTATACCAAAAGCTCAGTAAGTTAAACTGATGCATCTAAGTATTTATTCTTAATAAATACATACTGAACGCACACAGAAGTCGAGGTTAAATTTTTTTGAACACAAGTAATACAACCAATTGATGTAAGTAAACTGTAAATATCAATCTATTGTGTGAACATACGCCTATTTGCTTGTTGTCAATTACGTACATCACACGATTAAACATACATGACAACCAAAAAAAGGTAATCAGGATGAGCGCAAATGACATTGATCCGGAGTCGGCGTCATGTGGAGGTGGACTGAGCGCTTTCAAGGAAGTGGACGAGATTCAGCACCTGATGCAGCAGCTGTACGTCCCGGACCAACCCATCCGCGTCATGGAAAAGAACCTGGATCGCTTCTGTTTCATCATGAAGCAATATCAGGACCAACCTCAGCTGCTTGATCCTTACCTCGAAAGTTTGCTGGGTCCATTGTTGACATTTATCAAGGAAAGGAGTGAGTTTGATTATCTGAAGCACTATGTCTTCAAGTACATTTATATCATCATGAGTGTCAAGACTTACAAAAAAATTGCTATACATCTGCCGCACGAGGTGACTGATTTTAATCCAGTCCTCGAGATGCTGGAGAAGCAAAACAACGAAGACAAGGATAACTGGCAGACACGCTACGTTCTACTGATCTGGCTGTCAATCATATCAAAGATACCCTTTGCTCTGTCAAGATTGGAAACTAGAGACTCGACAGAGGCAAAGGAGAGTTTGACAGAGAGGGTTATTTCAATTTGTAAAAAGTATTGTGCTTCAAAGGACTCGTGCTCCAATGCAGCCATATTTTTGATGACACATTTCTTGACGAGATCCGACGTTAAGGATGATTACATGGAGCACTTGATAGACTGGGCACTGCAAGGCTCCAGTAATGATTGCTTGAATCACAGACCACTCGCCGTCATTGCTTCAATAATTAAGCACAGCTGCCGAGATGATATTATGCCTTACACTCAGAAAATTTTTGACAGAATTTCAGAAAATAAGCTGGACGAGAGTAGTGCAGATCTTGTGAGGAAATTCTCGATAAAAATTGTTCAGAGAATAGGCATGACTTTGTTAAAAGTTCACGTTAATCCTTGGCAGTATAAAAAAGCATCCAAAGCAATAATTTTGTCAACCAATGTACTTGAAACTCGTGAAAATATGGAACCTGTTTCAGTTGGAAATGACATTTTCGTGTCTTACTACGACGATCACGAAATACCACCCCTCATAGAGGAAATAATTGAACACCTGATTAGATGCCTGCAAGATAAATCTATAATTATCAGGTGGTCTGCAGCAAAAGGTATCGGGAGGATCACGGCGAGGCTCCCAAGTGATCTGGCAGATGATGTGCTTGGCTATGTCATTGATCTATTTTCAACTCGTGAATCTGAGACCGCTTGGCACGGAGGTTGCCTGGCATTAGCCGAACTAGGTAGAAGAGGATTACTCTTGCCTGACAGATTGAAAGAAATTATTCCCCTGGTCATCCAAGCTCTGGTTTTTGATGAACCAAGAGCTTATGGACCGGTCGGATCCATCATAAGAGACGCTGCGTGTTTCGTTTGTTGGTCTTTCGCGAGAGCTTTTGAGCCAGAAGTTTTTCAGCCTCACGTCAACGACATATCAAGGGCCTTGTTGATAGTTACTTGCTTTGACAGAGAGATCAACTGCCGTAGAGCCGGTTCTGCTGCTTTCCAGGAGAATGTCGGCAGACAAGGAAACTTTCCTCATGGCATTGAAATAATTTCTGCAGCCGACTACTTTGAAGTTGGAGTTAGAAGCAATGCATACCTCAAGATCAGCGTACATGTTGCCAAGTACGAAGGCTACTTAAAACCTTTGGTTGATCACCTTGTCAAAAGAAAAGTTACCCATTGGGACAGTACTATAAGAGAATTAGCTGCCAAGGCCTTACACAATTTAGGCGCACTGGACACAACTTACATAATTAACGACGTATTTCCAGTACTATTGGATTTCGTTAATTCATTAGATTCGTTTGCACGGCACGGTGCGATTTTGGCTATTGCCGAAATCCTTGTCGTGCTGCACCAATGCCTTGAAAAGGATATAAGTGACATTATTGCCAAGGACCACTTGGATAAGATTCAAAAGATTGTGTCCACTTGTCGTAGCAGAGGACAGTTGAGAGGACTTGGTGGTGAAAGTATCAAACAAGCTTGCGCGACCCTCATAAAAAAATTTTCAATCGTACATTTTCATGTAAACGATGAAAATATCATCAATGACTGGCAGGGACTGCTAGAAGAATGCTTGAGTAACGAAGTAGCAATCGTTAGAGAAGTATCGGCTGAGGCCCATACAGCGTTTTTCACGGAATATTATTTAACCTGGAGTCTGGAGGACAGACAGGCAATTATTAACAAATACCTGGAAAACCTCCAGTCCTCTAGCCAGACAGTCAGAATAGGTTTTGCCGAAGCTATTGGCTACTTCCCAGTTAACGTTCTGAAAGAAAAAGGGGAAGACATATTCAAGAAGCTCATGCAATGCTCTTGCATCACTAAGGACACGACGCTGTGGGCTGAGAGCAGGAGGGATGCCATAAGATCTTTGACAAAACTCAGTGAAACTCTGGGCCTCGAGCATACGACGATATGGAAGCCTTTTGTTAGCGATGTGTACAGATGCCTTTTCAACGGCTTAGCAGAGTATACAAACGATAGCCGTGGTGATATTGGATCTTGGGTACGCGAAGCCGCGATTGACGGCATCCTCACCCTCACGAGACTCGTATTCAAAGCTGATTACACCGAGATCTTGACGCAAGAACTGATGACGAAAATTATTGGAGGCATAGCTCAGCAAGCCGTAGAACGTATCGACCGAACGCGATCCAAGGCAGGAAATGCCTTCCACGTATTGATACAGAGCAGCTTGCCAAATATACCACATCACGAGGAATTGAAAATTTTGTTCTTATGCACGGATGAAAAAAAATTTATAGACTGGCGTTCAGAGAGCGAAACGTTCCCACTCTTTATCCAGATGCTTTCTTTTCAGCCATATGTTCAAAACTTACTGAAAGGGATAATCTACAGTGCCGGTGGTTTGTCAGAATCTCTAGTAAAGTACTCCAGCATGTCTCTGTTTTCGTATCTGCAACAGTTGGACGAACAGACTTTGAGTAGTCTCTGTAATGAGATTTGCAACATCTTTGAATCTTGCCATGGCGATGACCGCATGATATCAGCTAGCTTAGCTTTTCTCGACAGATTGATTAGCTCAGGATGTATTCAAGGTGTACTAGACGACCCAAAAAGTGAGATACCTAAACGAATTTTGACCCTTCTAAAGAAAGAAAGTAAGTGCATCAATGCTATTCAGTCTCAACTGAACAGTGTCAAACTGTTTTGCCACATGCTTCAAGTACATGGACCAGTGAGTAAGGGTGCCTTTTCTCAACTCAGTATCTATTTATGTCACAAGTTCAAATTCATCAGAAAAGCTACAGCCAGTAGATTGTACGAGTCTTTGACGTTGCACGGGGATGAGATGGATGTTAGCGAAGAGGATCTTGCAATTTTACTGACACAGCTCAATACCGTTGATTGGGAAGAACCAGTTGAGAAGTTAAGACCCATCAGGAATCAGTTATGTGAAATCATGAAGTGTTCTATACCAACTGTTGTCCAGAGACCCAAGAATAATTAAATTCTCTATTGTGCCTTTGGCATTGCCTTGTTTTACTCTTCAATTCATTATAAAAATTTAGTCTATTAAGTCTTTAGTGATTATATTTATTGCAGACCTTAACAAGAATTTTTGAAGTACTAAAATTTTTCAATTGCTTTAACAAAATTTTTTTAAAGTTTAAATGATAATTTAATATTTTATCAAAGCAACGTTTGCTTACAATACAATCAAGTTTTTTAAAGTTTCTACAGAAAAAAATTGTATCTACAATATACTTAAAAAATGATTATTTTCTTTAATATGAAAAAAAAGATCCCATATCATTCACTATCACAATAAGAAAGAAAAAGACTGCAAAAAGCTCATAAAAATAATCGAACATTAAAATTATTATGTAGTGTTTGTACAGAATTGTAATATATTTTATAATGCTTTTCGTACTTGATTTTTTTACTCATAAAAAATAAAATCTTGGCAATTTTTTGCATTACTGGTACTCAAAAAAAATTTCATGAAATACAATCTCCTAAAATCTCCATAATCCATTAGGAAAACTCAAGAGTGAAATAATATAAAAACTTTATAATTTATTAATAATTGAAAAAAATAAATTCTTATTGTAAGAGTTGGATAAACGTTTACATATTTTTAATGGATGCTTTTACTATTTTAACAGCATCGATAGGTCTATCATTTTTATCTGTTTCTACAAGCCCTATTCTCTTGACTATTGCCATGCCAGAATGTACTCTGCCTGAAAATTTAATAAACGTGCGAATTAGTTTTGTAATAGAAAAATAAGTATAAAAACTTGTATTTTGCAAAAAAGTAAAATCACCGAAAATCGTGTGTTTTCCATCCAACCATTGAGTAGGAGCTAAAGTTATAAAAAATTGAGAACCATTTGAGTCTGGCCCAGAGTTCGCCATTGATAATACTCCAGCACCTTTCGAAATAAACATTTTTATCATGTTATTGCTGCAATAACGTTAATTTCATTACTGAATCAGTAATTAATCAGAATTAATTACCAGTGTGCTTTAAGTCGTCATGAATCTCGTCGTCAAAGCATTCACCATAAATTGAAGTGCCTCCCTTTCCTGTTCCTGTGGGATCTCCTCCTTGAATCATAAAATCCCTGATGATCCTGTGGAACTTTGTGCCATTGTAATACCCCCTCCTGGCAAGCTCGGCAAAGTTTCTACAAGTTATTGGCGCGTGTTTCCAATACAGCTCAATTACCATCTCTCCCATCCTGCATTATTAATAAAAAAAAAAAATTACGCCAAAATAGAAATTGATTATAGATTATCGTTTCTTTTGAAAATGTGATACTCACGAGGTTTCTAGAGAAACAAAAGGTGGTTGCCAGTGTTTATCAGGAATGCCTGATGAGCTTGAACCAGTCAGTGCCATAATTTACAAATCTGCAATTAGATGAGTTTCATATTATCGACCAATTTACAATTATATAAACACCACTAGAGTAAATTTAATCAAAAAATGGTTCTTTCTGACTTCTTTCCTAATTGTACAAAGAAACTAAAATTCAAAGTTTGACTATAAATTAATCAAATCTAATATACTCATATTCGTTACAATAAACTTCGATAAAAAAACCAATGAGAAATATTTTTTAGCTATGGGGGGAGGGGGGGCAATGATGGTCAGCTCAGGTGTCGAGAGAGCAGTAACCGTTATATTTATATTCTGACGTATAATTAATTACTTCTCCGGCGACGACGAGACATACATTCATCCAAAAGAGAGCCTATAATTATATTTTAAGCCGAGCCGAGCGCACCTGCGACTCCTGCGAGCTCCGAACAAATTTAGCTTAATTAAACGGTTGAAAATAAAACCACGGGTTAGGTAATAATCAGTTGCACGGAAATAATTAACACGACTGTTTTACAATTTTTTATCAGAACATTGTATATTACGCAGCGTATTTTTCAAATTCATTTTATTCACACAAACTGAACGCAAATGATTCTATTATTATTAATTAATGCTTATTTTTTTACATTAATAATTCTACCCTTTTATAGTATAAGCTAATGTTTAAAGTAATTAGTCCCTATTTTGCTTCACGTGGCCGCATCTGTATATCTGTATATACACGGTGTACTTCTTTTATGTTGCAGTATACAGATATATAGATGCCCTGTACACATGTGTTTATTTATTTTGGTGTTTGATAAGACCCTCTGGCCTAAGTGTAACGTAACACTCTCGTTTACCCGGATTCGCGGGTTTAACAATGCAGCTATGTAGATACTTATCATAAGACCGCGTAAAAATAAAATTTAGTGGTAGTAAGTAGGTAAGCATTAGGTAGGATAATAATTAGGTGCTTATTAGGTACGTATATGTATATATATGTATATTATATGTATACTTACACAGAAAACAAGTATAGAGGACGATAATTATTATGCGATGTCCGTGCGATATGATTCAGTGAATGATGTCGGAGTATCAACTATCAACCGAAGCGGTTTAGCCGGTGTGTGACGTGTAACATATCACTTCCTACTGCTTAGGTGATCTGGAAGTAAAAATTGAAAAAATAATCCAAGAGCGAATTGTAACCTCTTTTGGTGAAACACGACGGCAGATAGAATAGACACACGCTGTGTGTGCGTATAAGGTGTGTTGGCGTTCTTCTGGTTACTGTTACTGCTACTGCTCTATTATACTGCTGCTAAGGGGAGCCTTCGGGGTGGCGGTGGTGGCTGGGATTCGGGGTGTGCACACACCCAGAAGGGGTTACTGCTGAGATCGGCCCGGCATCATGTTTCCCCAGAGACCAGATTACGTTAGTGTAAATATCAACGATGGAACGAGTTTTGCCAAGTCTACATCGCGTAGCATCTGGCGCGTGAGTACATCATTTATTTTTATTGTTTGACATACAATATCAAATAATCGTGTTTTTTCTATCTTTTGGCTAATCACTTGTTTCTTATTTATGGAATCTGACCATTATCATTTTAATTGTCTTCTCAAATTATCAACAAGACGTGTCAAAAGAGACACGTGGAACACTTTTTATTTAATAACCAGATTTATCTAACGTTAGTTCGATTTTTATTTCTAGCAATGGAACCAGTTGTCCAGGTTTCAGCGCAATATCCTATACTTTACTGTGATAGCAGGTATAATTCTATTGATATACTTTTTACCTGGCAAAACTCAGTTGACCACTGTTGTGGATGAGAGTGATTATGACAGTACCAAGGTAGCTCAAGAACATCAAAAAGTCAGGAAGGTCAGTCTAGCCACAATTTTAAGTAATTTAAATTAATTATTGTTTCCATAAAAGCAGCAAAATAATTTATTTCCATGTCACATATGTGCTTCATACAATAGACATACATCATTTAGTTAAATATTATACCTTTAAGTGTCACTGTACTTATACTGAATATTTAAAAGCATTAGAGTCACTCTGTCAATTTATCATAGGTTCAAGAAAAACATGAGGCAAATCATGGAGACCGAGGAGGTGGTATTAATGTCGAGGTTATAGAGGAACCTGAGTTTCAGCCAGAGGCTAATCAGGTTGACAATAATCAGATTGGGGAGCCTCCTCAGCATCAATTACAAGCACTCAAGTTTAACGGTACTTTTGAAGCGTAAAAAAAATCTTATTGTACACATTAATTTGAAATAAAAAAAAACGTTAATTTTTTATTTTGTTGACAAAAAATAGGTCCAAAAAATGACAGACAAAAAGCTGTAGTACAAGCTCTTATGCATTCTTGGAATGGCTATAAAAAGTTTGCATGGGGTCATGATAGTGTCAAGCCAGTATCAAAAAGTTATCACGAGTGGTTTGGATTGGGACTAACTATTGTTGATTCTCTGGATACTCTGTACATGATGGGATTGTATGAAGGTCAGTAAAGATCTAAAAAGTTATTTCAAAACAGATAACTTGGTCCACGATGTAACGATATGAAACTTTCAACAGAATTCAAAGAAGGACAGGATTGGGTTAAAAAAAACTTAGTCTTTGATCGGAATAGAGATGTTAATCTATTTGAACTAACCATTCGGGTACTTGGGGGACTACTATCTGCTTATCATTTATCTGGTGATAAAATGTTCCTTGAAAAAGCTGTAGGTATTTTATTTTTACTAATTTAACCAAACTGTTTGTGTAATTAAAAAGATATTAACTTCAATTAAATAGGTCGAACTGGGAGATAGAACGATGCCAGCATTTGCGTCACCTTCAGGTGTACCTTACTCGGATGTGAATCTTGGTATGCGTATTGCTCACGCACCCAGATGGAATCCAGACAGTAGTGCCGCGGAGATCGCATCACTACAGCTAGAGTACCGTGATTTAAGTCGCTCTTCTGGTCAGCCACGTTTTGAACAGGCTGTCGCGAAGGTTTCAGAACACTTGCATCAGCTTGAAAAGTTTGACGGACTCGTACCAATTTTCATCAATGCCAACACGGGCTTGTTTCAAGAACACTCAGCCATTACTCTCGGTGCGCGTGGTGATAGTTATTACGAATATCTGCTCAAGCAGTGGATACAGACAGGAAGAACTATTGATTAGTGAGTATAGAAATCCTCATAGACACTTTTTTTTTCATGACGCTTACTTTGTATTAACTTTCAGCTTGAGGGATGACTATCTGCTGGGTCTTGTGGGTACTGAAAAACATTTAGTGAAACGAACTGCTGTAAATAAACATTTATTTTTAGCAGAACTTATTGGTGCCTCGCGAGAAGTAAAACCAAAAATGGTAAAGTTTAATAAAATTAAAAAAAAAAAAAAAAAATTGTTTTAATCGGAATTTTTTAATGATTTTTTTATTTTAATTACAGGATCATTTGACATGCTTCTTAAGCGGTACCATAGTATTAGGCGTTCATTTTGGTTTACCTAAAGAGCATTTGCAACTTGCGGATGAATTAATTAACACATGCTGGCAAACTTATGCAATTCAACCAACTGGTCTTGCTCCAGAAATCACTTACTTCAACATTCACGTAATTTTAATAATTTTAATCAAGAATTTGGGATTTTTATCATCAAGTTAATTTTTAATAACTTGCATTACAGAATTCAAACGACAAAAACCAGAATGATATGACTGTAAAAACGAATGATGCGCACAATCTTTTACGACCTGAATTTATTGAAAGTTTGTATTACATGTGGTACTTCACGGGCAATAAGACTTATCAAGACTTGGGCTGGCGAATATTTCAAGTTAGTATTTTTCAAACGTTTTTTTGTACATTGACAATTGGAATTGATTAGCATTTAAAAATAATTTAAACATCGTAAATTTGTTTCAGTCATTTGAAAAATACAGTAAAGTTGAACATGGTTACACTAGCATCGGTAATGTGAAAAACATTTACAACACACGTCCACGTGACATGACAGAGAGTTTCTGGTTTAGTGAAACATTGAAATATTTTTACTTATTGTTTGATGATACTAGGCGATTGATTGATTTGGAAAAATGGGTTTTCAATACAGAAGGTCACCCGCTGCCTATTTATGAATCATGAAAATCTCAATTGTAAGATAAAAAAAACCATACCACTCGTTCAGTAATCAGTAAAATCGTACCTGTGGAGTGTTTCAATTAGGTTTGTGATAGAAAAAAACGCATTTAAACAATATTCATACTTTATGTATATAAATGAAATCATCAGCTTCCGTGTTCATATGCATGGGGTTGAATAGTTTGTTTTGAAACGATTTTTTTTTCCAAACAAATGTGTAAAAAGGTGTTTTTATAAGTGCATGTGAACATAATGAAGAAATGACTCTTATTCGATACATTTATTGTACAGTCAAAAAAAAAGCTAACAGTCAATTTGCTGTAAACAGATAGCTATAAATCGTAAACATGTTTATGCTATTACAAACTCTCTGTGGTACTTATGATCTGAAGTATTTTTACTTTTACTGTACGCAAGAGCTGTTCAAAACCGTCAATCAAGAGTCATTATTCGTTTTCTGATCCATTTCAATTGAGTGAATTCATTAGAGTGTACGATTACAACTCAAACGAAATAAAATTCTGAATAAAACTATTTTTAAATCATAAAATTATTTTTTTTTTATTTATAACTTTTTGGATTCCTACTCGAATAACGTGCATCGTAAATCAGATTTGCTTCGACGTCAATTTTGTATCGAGGATAACGAAATCATATAGTTATTGTTTTACATCTCGTTGCATCATGAGTTTTTCATTCTGATTCATCCTTAAAGTTGTTATTTACTATCTTGGTTTGTGCATCAAAAGAAACGAGTTTCCCCTAGAAATTTTGATATGTTTGAAAAATATTGTAAATTACCTCATTATCTAAACAATTCCAAATACGTATTAAGTGTTTCAATGTGAATGCAAAAAGCAAACACGCACTCAATTTCAACGTTGAATCGAAATAAAGTTATAGCTGATTAGTGAACGGCTCTGGCTGTACAGATGTGGTGAGATCTGTTTTAATTGAAAAGTATTTATATTGCACTGCAGAAGTGATAAAACTTTATATTAGTTTTTTAACCTTTGATTATTTCTACGCAAGATAATTAATAGCATTGAATCACAAAATGTCCAAATTTTGTTCGTACATGATGAGTGTTTAGGGTATGATAAGCAAATGTATAAAAATATAGTCAAATACACCTCTAGTCGTACACCTGAATGCAAAACATAATTAATTTGCAAATTTTTAAAGTGGCTCATACATTCTGTTTCAATTTAATTCTTTGTATACTTAGGTATGTAAAGAAGTGTCTTGAAAATACCTCCTCAGCATCAATTACAAGCACTCAAGTTTAACGGTACTTTTGAAGCGTAAAAAAAATCTTATTGTACACATTAATTTGAAATAAAAAAAAACGTTAATTTTTTATTTTGTTGACAAAAAATAGGTCCAAAAAATGACAGACAAAAAGCTGTAGTACAAGCTCTTATGCATTCTTGGAATGGCTATAAAAAGTTTGCATGGGGTCATGATAGTGTCAAGCCAGTATCAAAAAGTTATCACGAGTGGTTTGGATTGGGACTAACTATTGTTGATTCTCTGGATACTCTGTACATGATGGGATTGTATGAAGGTNCTTCGGGCCCATGCGTAACATCTCAAATATCATCACAATCTTCATAACTCAGCTTGCGAGTAACTCTTCTCCAATGATTCACCAGTCTGTCGTCATTCATGCAAAAGCACAACTCAAAGGGAGACCCGTTGGTCGCACAGGTGCGCCATAATCTCGTACTGGCTCTCTTGAGATCCGAACTTTAACTGTCGTAGATTTGCTCGTAGAACAGATGGATCTAGTGATACAAATGTTCGTACAGATAAACCGCGTTCTTAGTCCGCACGTAACACCAGCGATCGCAACTGGTATGGGCACACGTAGGGGTTTCCCCAACAGCGCCCGTGTCCATAAAAATTGTCGATCGGTCCTTGTTGCGAGAACGATGCTCTTTCGTCTTGTCCTGCTCGTCCCGATAGTAAGCGAACAATTGATCCATCTTCTTGCAAATATTGCCGGGATCAGTTTCGCAAGCGTCTTCGATTTGTGTCGCCGACACTTTTCTTTTCTGCCAAGATGCGCGCTGTGGTGAGACGGGTTGAGATTGCTGGCTATGCGTGTCAAAGATTCTCTGTAACCAAATCACAAATGTACGCATGTTAGTGTCTAATACCACCCATTGTATAAATATAGCTTTTAAAAGTACTATGCATAAGAAGAAATAAAGTTACAATATGTGTGCCAAAAGTATCATTGTAATAGAAAAATAAAACGTACCTTGAGAGACAAGTAAAAACGCTGACCTTGAAGCCCACGAGCGTTGTTAGGTCCTGCAGTAGGTATACTTCAAAGCGGATTGTTACCAAATAAACCGATATTTGTCAAATGATGTACAGGCCTTCCTGCACTGCGATTTATACACAAACGGCTAATGTGTTGTTTCTTTGTATTTAACGGGTAAAACGTGGGGATAGACGATGAGCAATCATGAACTAAAAAAATCGGCTTTCACCATTACCGTAGCTTGCACAGTTTAACTAGTTAGAAAGAATTGAGATAATAAGTGTATATTGTATTGTAGTTTTCTTCGATGAGATACGAAGTCACTTTTTCGAGTAACACCAATGAGGCTCGAAACACGTCTTTTCAAAAGAAAATATCTGGAAAAATTGTACTACTGTTATAACTTTTGCAACTGAACGAGTGAAAGTCATAGGCTGTTGCCGAATTCGATTATTTATACATATATATGATCGCACGTATAAAAGTCGAAAATAAGGTAGCCGTTGATTTTTATTGTACTCTAGGAATGTCTTGATTTCGATATGGTCATTACTTTTGATTTGATACTCCATTTCTCACACTCTCGGAAGCTTTTCCATTTATTTATTTTTTTTTTTTCGCGTTTCAGTGATTTTGTTTATCCCTTTTATTGTCGATAGCTGTTATATATACACATTACATAAATATGTAAATCTATCTAAGCTACAATTAGTATACAATATATAGCTGAGCATTTGTCTTTTTCGCGCAGCTCTTGTTTTTCGACGTCTCTTATAGTATATACTTGTTTTGATGATCGTTACACACTACATCAACAGATACTCGGTAATTTTAACAACTTCTGATAACAAAATTCAAGCTCTTGCCCTAAGTATTCTTAAGAAAAAAAAAAAAAAATAATCACTTGACACTTGTATAAAAAGGGAAGAAAAAAAAAAAAAAAAACAATTTCCTCTTGGACCAAAGCAACAAAGATCAATGATTGAAAAAAAAAAAAAAAAAATGTGCGCTATGAAAAATATAGTCTCGAGATTCTTCGTATGCTGGGTTTGGCTGCACGCATACACACATAGGCTTAGGGCTTTGCGTATAATCACAAAGTTACTCCGGCGCTGTCGAAAATTTAATTCACATAAAACCCCCACCGCGTCGACTCTCCTCTTCGTATTATATTATATACTCGCGAGGAGCACGGAAGAGAAACCCCTTTCCTCCCTCCCTCCCTCTCTCTCTCTCTCTCTCTCTCTCTCTGCGATTTAACTTATCTCGATCTGTAAAGTTTGTGTACGTGTGTACACACACACATATTTGAAACTTTCCGAGTCGTACGGTTTTGTCTCCCTCTTCCGCGGCCCCAGCAGCAGTTGGTTTTCATAATTTTCCAGCGGGGGGAGATTCAATATCGAAGGGACGAAAGAGTTTCCTCGAAACTATACACCCGTGGGGAGGGGGGCAAAAATTTCGCAACGCATGAAACACTCCCCCCCCCGTGGAGCAAGTGGAGGATGTAATTTTAATGAGGCCACCACGGCTGCAGTCGTGTACCTGCCCATCCTTGAGAAAACGCCACTTTGCACGCGAAATTTCGTACCGATGGGGAAAAGTTCATCCCTGGAGTTATGACACACACAACGTAATTAGCGCCGTGGAGGGGGGGGGAATTAAGGAAGAGAGAGAGAGAGAGAGACGGTATTCATATGATGGTGCACTCGCAGCACTGCTGGGTAAAGTAGATGCACTTGATGAGACAGCTGTCGTCCTCGAGGTCGTGGTAGTCGCGGTGCTTGTACTTGATGTCGCCGTCGACCTTGTCGTTGTGCTCGAGCTTGAGGGCGCTGCCCTTGTAGCCGTTGCGCTCGTAGACGGGCTGGGGTTCGGGCGAGGGTAGGGTGGAGCGGCCGATCGGGACCGCCTCCTCGATGGCCTCGACCTCGGGGCTGTCGGCACCGCTGCCGCTCGCTGCCCCGGTCGTGTTGTTGGTGCCGCCGAGGGACGAGGTTGTCGAGTTGGTGCCGGCCCGGGGCGACGGTGACGTTGAATTTGTCCCAGTTGTCGTCGTTGTCGGCGTCGATGGTCGGATTTTACCTGGACGCGGCTCGTCCGGGAGCTCGGGGTACTGGTGCGCCAACGTCGACGACGCCTGCAACGTCGGCGACGACTCAGACGACGTCATCACGCTGCAATCAGACCAAGGGTTTTTTCTTCATTAGTCAAACCTTATATTTATTGCAACACGCCTATAATATGTATATATATA